ATTTGACAACTGTTTGATATGTGAATATAATTCAGTAAAAAGAATGCTAGAACCGTATGAGCACCGGCAAGAGCTTTCAGTTGAGCTATAACTTGTATATGTGTCATATATGAACTATATGAAAAATATGAAAATGAACCAATGTTCAATACCCAGCTCGGGTATCCAAAATACTGTGTATTTGAGTGTAAATAACTTTTGTACCATAGAATAAAAACCAAAGTGATGCATATGTGCATAAAATATAGATTCAAACGAAACCACTTACGGGGGTCTGGTGCAATGCTAGCCCTTTAAATCTTAAAGCAAAAGTCAATGATGTCACGGACCCCATAGGATGTACCCGATAACATGAAGAAAACTACCCATAAAAGGAAAACTGCAACTTTGAACTGTGGGCCTAAATGAGTTAAAAACAGCCACAAGACACGGTCCAAAGTGCTGTACATAAAACAGAGTAAATTAAAAAGGCAGATTATAAAAACACAAAAATAAGCCAAGAGAAATGACTGAATACATGTGAAAATGAAGCAGTAGAAAAGACTATTTAAATAATATTAAAAAGTCAAGCTAAATGGGTACGTTTTTAAGAGTGATTTACAAACAGATAGTGATGAAGCCATTCTAATCTCATAGGGGCGAAGCTCTGTCCCCTCTACGTTTCAGTCTGGAAATCTTCAAAAGAAGATTTTGATCACCAGATCTTACGGGAGAGTCAAAATGCAACATCTCTAATAGATAGGTTGGGGCTAGATTACGGGATTTAAATCAATTCTGAATCGGATGGGCAGCTAATGGAGATCCCTTAAAAGAGGGGCGGTCATGTTTCCTACTATTACAAATGAATTTAGCAGCAGCATTTTGGACCAACCTAAGGTGAAACATTAGACATTTTGAGATGCCACAGTAAAGTGAACTGCAGTAGTCTAACCGTGATGTAATAATAGCATGGATAGCTATATCTAGTGTGGTGGTATAAGTTAAAACAACAGAAAAATATTTGTTGTCTTGACTTTTTGTCATTATTTTTTGTAGTGTGTATAAAATGATTAAATACTAGTATTACTGTGTGTATGTTCATACCTGCATATTTATGGCACCTCCCTTGACTTGAAAAGCATTTGGTTTCTTACTCCCCTCAGAACAATCCAAAGCTGTATTCCCCTTCCAATGCAGTGTAACATTCATTTGTTAACATTGGTTATTTATACAGTATAGCTCATTTAAACACACTAGGCCAGAGATGCCCTTACCCAGCAAACAATTGTATGTTTAAATGACATCTAATAGACATCTAAACATAAACCACCTGGCAAAAACAAGGCTAAACTTGAGCTGTCAGTGAAAATCTAATACACATCTAAGAATAGCAAAAAAATAAATAAATAAATAAATAAAATAAAACTTGACTAGTCTTAGACAGACTTTATAAGTGTAGTCCATCATTTCTGGTTATTTGACTTGTTTTAGCCAAGATGACTATGTTAAGAGACACCTATTAGACATCTTTTTAAAAACTAAAAATGCTTGCTGCTGGGTAAGGCATGCGGGCCAAAGTTGACCCATGGTAACCTTTAATTTGCCCCAACATCCCATCTGAGAAGAGAAGATTGATGGGGATGGTTTAGACAGGCTCGTACCAAGGGTGGTGGTGGGGGGGTGTTTTCGGGTGGTACCCCTCCACTGAAAAAGGTCCAGAATTTGCTATTGGTCCAGAATTTTTGCCACTATATTCTCGTTTGACCTATATATCACCATAAAGTGGAAATAACCCATCAAAGGTTTTGAGAAAACGCAAAATATGACATAAGTGGTCAACTTTCACTATTGACCAAAAAAAAAAAAAAAAAAAACATTTTACAAATAGCCTAACTTTTATTTTAAATCTTAAACCTTATTCTTAAGAGAAAAAAAATGAACAATGAAAAGGTCTGAAGCACCAAAAGCAGCCTATTGGAGTTCATTTTAATACTAATTAGGCTGTGTATAAAAATCCAAAATCAAATTAAAAGTTTTCAGGGGTAGCTTAAATAATGTGTCAGTGCTCTTTGTGTTTGGGATTCATCAGAATAAACATCAAAATCAATCCAAGGCACTCAAAAAATGTGGAAAAAATAATAACAAGCCTTTATTGACATGGCTGTTCCTTAAAACTGCAACTACATCAGGTTACCCTGATAAGTCTGGTGTTATCAAAACGTGTAGGCGCAGTTTTACACCTTAGTTTGCCTTAGACTGACTTTTGCTGTTTATACTAATTAGGCTGTTGTTAGATACATTTTCAAGAGAGGCTAGAAGCAAATCATGAGGCTCTTTTTTTATATTTGTTTATTATAAATCTTTAGAAAATATTTTGGTACATCAAAAATGGAGGATAAAAGAAGCTAATCCTGCTAAAAAATAGTGCTTAAAATGCCACTAATTGGATTATTTAAACATCATAATTAAATAGAAAATGAGGTAAATAACTGCAAAAAAGTCCACATTTTGAGAAAAAAAGAACCACCCCTTTCACCAGGCTGCCTACGGGCCTGTTGGAGATTGTCATTTCATATCTAATGTAACCTTTCATTTGTTTGTTTTGTAGTTAAAAGCTAACTGAAAATAAATGTTTCAGTTAATCAGATTAAGTAAAAATGTGCATACCATCACACGATGGATAAAGGACAAATCAAGGCAAAGGCAGCTTATGCTTGACTAGTGTCTTCAACGTTGAACTCGGCTGTGTTATAAATGGGATTGTTTTATGTTTTTATTGCAATGCATTAGCATTTTCAAAGTTATACTGCAGAGCTTAATATGATTTAAAGTATTTTTTTTCCAAAAAAAATTAGAAAATCAACCATCTTTAATGTAAGCGTTGGTATATTCTCCTTCAGCCCATGGCTCTCAATGGTATTTAATCTTTGGCCCTTGTTTGGGCACGCCTGCACTAGGCTATCACTGCTTGCCCTTTTAAATGTGATAATACATAAATGAGACTGCACTTAATTAACCTGACTGTTAATGTAGCAAATTGACCAGTGATGATGTTTCATTTCAGCAGCACAACAATAAGGTATGACCTTTAACAAGATGACATAAATAAACAGCTTCAAAAACCATGACTGCAACTTAACTAAACCTGTAGCCATTGGAAAGCGAGCAGCGCCCCCTAATGGCCAACACTTGTTTTGAAGAGTTCAATCAAACCGTTTTATTGCCCAGGGGTTTAGTAATCGACTGTATTTAAAACGTCGAAATAAATACTACACTTTTTTTTTTTTTTTTTTTTTACTTTTGCATTTCCAGGGTTTCTTTTTATTCATGATTTGGATAGTCTTTTGTTTTCAATTTATTTTAAATGGTTAGTGAATCAGGCGGATATAAATGCAAAGTGGAGAAAATATAGCATATATTCAGTTATGAAATACATTGATTCACAAATGGTTCGATATAAAACGAAAAATCTAAAAAAAAAAAAAAAGTTATATTTCAAAAAATTGCCTTGGTATTATGTAGTATTAGTATTCTTAATTAATTTCAATATGTAACAAATAACATTTAATTTTATATTTGCTTTCCTCGCTGAATGTTGTTATTTTTAACACTCTAAATGAACTGTCTTAATTTACACATTCGATTATACCACAGTTTTACGTTGTCATAATGACATCGTCACAATGACCCCCTTTAGCGTCTTCACTAAATTGCTAAATATTGACCATGCTTTTCCTTTGCCTCCCTACTGAAAAAACAGCTTAAACCAGCCTAGGCTGGTTTAAGCTGGATTTTTCTGCAGAGTCTGCAAAAATGGCGCCTCGTCTCCCGGACCTGCATGGACTCGTTAAAGCCAGGTAAATAACCATGTTTACCTTGAACTTGTGGCCTGTTTGTCATTTCAGTGTGGTCAGGCAAAAGTTTGGGGTTGGCGTAAAGTAGCGAAATGAAATGAATGAATAAACACGTCCCCCAATATTCAAGATATGTTTGCAGTAAAATAGCTTAAAATATAGATAACCTCCACACAGGCAAGAGCACTTTCCCTGAATGATAAAACTGCAAAGGTGATATTCATCTCCCAAAAACAAAAAAACAGGTTAATATGTTCATTATTTTGACTTACAATGCAGTTGTTAATTACACAACAAGGTCTGTTTGTCAAAGATGAGCAGTTCCAAACAAAGCAAAACTTCACAATCATCAGAGATTTTTTTCCCTTCTCGAATGATTCAGTGTACTTTAAACAAATTAGTTGAGTCAATGACCCGTTCATTAATTAAGGCACTGTATAGCAGGGCTTCTGATGGGATAGGCATCCGCTGCATAAAACATATGCTGGATAAGTTGGCGGTTCATTCCGCAGTGGCGACCCCAGATTAATAAATGGACTAAGCTGAAAAGAATCTGAATGAATGAATGTAACTCAGCTAAACTACTTCCGCCATTTGTCGTCATCATGTGACCTACCCACATCTGTTGCGGCGCTTCACTCCCATTCATGAACTTTTTCGCAGGGCATCATGTAATAGCCTAGTGTCTATTGGTTGCATACTTCAGAATCTCGCCCGAAGTGGTAGGTCATCCGGTTACTTCCCGCATACTGCTTTTTGAATACTATGAATTCGTACATACTGTACTAGTCGGCTCGCATACTGTTTTAACTGTATTATATAGTATGGAAGTATGCTATTTTAGACGGAGCTAAATAAAAGATCAAAACATGACCTCTCTGTACAGAAATGTAAAATATGGAGCAGTTGCTTGTTTATTAATGTCTAATCATCTTGTTTACTCTTGCCCCATTTCGCAGCACCGCATGACAAAATTTTGTATGCTCAAACTCTGTTGTTACCTTGACATTTCATTTAGAATTGTCCTAGCTGGTGTGTTGAGGCAAGCTGAAGGAGATTGGGCACCTCTGGTCTAAGCGGGGGGAAAGGCAACAAGTAACACATATTACAATAATGCAAGTCACATACAGTAGTAGCACAATAATAATAATAAAGCCAGCAAACAAATCAATGGCAATAAGCTTTTTATTTAAACATTAAGGCAGTGTCTTTTTTTTTTTCATTTAATTTTTACACTGCTATCCACAAAGCTTGCTGGTGGCCATGTTGAAATACAACAGTGTGAATATCAATCTTGCAGCAAATCACATAAATATGTACATCCTTTTAGGTCTATTTACACTCCTTGCTATAATACAGTGGGTCTTAATACAAAACCAAAAAAAAAAAAAAAGTAATATGCACAAAATGGTTGTACAAAAACAGATACCACCAAAAATACCCACTTAACCTTTCCAATCTTAAGAGGGGCGACTATTTTCTGCTGTTTTCCCGTCTCTTCGTTAGTTTTCATCTCTCAGCTTCGCTTGTGTTTAGAAGACGCCGCCTCATCTAAGGAAAGTGCAATACTGTCCTCAGTAATAAGGTCAAACAGTTGAGATAGAGGAGAAAAGGGCTCACTATACAAGAAAACACTGAACTTTAGAGTGACTTGTCCACTAAACAATACTGTCTGGAGTGATATGTTAGAGAATGAGTCTCGAAATTAACGCAGAGCATTCTGGGATGTTTGTGACTGAAGATAAAGCCCCATTTTACTAAAAGAAAAAACACTAGGTAGTGCACTAAAACTGTCCTGGACCACCAAAACAACAATAAAACCCAGCGCTGAGCTTCCTTTTCAATTAGGTTCCAAAATATTCCTAAAATCTGGAGCATACAATGAGTATTGCAGTTTGAACTAGTATGTTGAAAGATCCGTTTTGTAGTAAAACCTTGTAACAAATAAAAGTCAACCAATAGAAATTAAAACACATCCTTATATCGAATTCGCATGCTGAAAAACTCTTAACGCTGCGTTAGGAGAGGAGATCGACAGCATCTCCTTCACTGCTTTCGTTTGTGCCTGTGATCAATTGTACAACCCTGGCATAACAAGGAGAAAAATCATCTTAAAAAACAAACCGTTGTGCGTAATCACTTGGTAGTTAACTTCAGAAATGTATATGTCAAATACATGGCACTTAACACTAGAATTATCTTTTAAAACTGTACAGAGTGAAGGACTACAGGTTATATGAGGTGTGGTGTCTGCTCACCTCTTTTCTTCTATATAGCATCATCATCTTCTCATACGAGTCCACAGAGGGTGGGAACTAAAACACCTGAAGCCTTCGTTCAAGCACAAAGCAGTAGCTCTCAATGAGTGTCATGTCAAAAGACTGGCCAAACAGCACGGCTTTAACTCTTGAACAAACAGATGACATGAATAAAAACAAGTAAAAAGCATCAGGTTTGTTCGGACATTCAGACCTGATCGAGCAGCTTCCTCAAAAGACGTGTCCACTCGCTCGGCTCTCTGCCAGTGATTGTCACTAGAGAGTGGAACAGTTGATGAAACGATTCAACAAAATACTGTAGAAAAAAGCAAAACGAATGTTGTGGAAAAGGTTGCATTCAGGTCAGCGTCCATTTGAAAGACACCGACAGAAACCGCTTGCTGACTAAGTGCTTAACTCATTACAAAAACATGCAAACAAGCTTCATGTACATACAAAAATAAAAACAAGCCAAACAGCGCATCTCCCTTCAACTATCACAAAGAGATGACGGAATTAATTGGTCAGCTAGAGTATTAAAAAAAGAGAGAGGTTTGACGTCAACGATGAACATTATGTGTACCCTGTAAACCAATGATATGGCCACCCATGTAAACGCTCTGAAATAGTAAGGTAAGGATTGAATGTTACAGGTTTAAATGTAACCTGGCTCTCTGAACGTCTCCTTTCATCACACACACACACACACAAAGTCAGACAGCCCAATTGCATGGACTTGGCAACACATGAAACCAATGTGAAGAGCTGTGGCTGCACAACTAAGAGAACGTGCATGTGTGTTTGTGTGTTTGTAGACGCTTGTTTCTGCAGAGGATTCAACCAGCCTTTGCATTATACCACACGCACACACACACACACACACACAAAATAAAGAGTTTGCAGTGGATTTACAGTATAAGAGTGTGTGTCCTGAGCAGAGGAATGCTCCAAAATGTGTTAACAGACAGATGAATCCATGAGTCAACTCTGATAAGGCCAGCAAGACGACACCAATAGAAGTATATATAGAATTGTATGTATATGCATTTATATATATATATACATATAAAAATTCAAAAGTGATTCTTCCTACAAGTAGTCCTGGAGTGACTGCACACACTAATGCAAGTGTGCACATTCACAAACACATCTACGAACACTGCAGCCATGTAATGCACTTTCACTGACAGTGTGAATGTGCCCGCTTGGAGAGCATTATGGGATGTGTGCATGTATGCATATGTGTGGAGGTATCAGAGGGCATGAGCATGGATGGACGTATGTTCCCGTAAGAGAGTGTGAGTATGTGTGTGTGTGTCAGTATGGATATGAGTGAGTGTGCTCACAAACACCCCTGTTTACAGTAACAAGTTTCTGTTCAGAAAGCAGCAAACGTTCTCGGTGTGTGTGTGTTCACTCGCTGTCTGACAGGGTCTCGTATTGAGAGCACAGCAGAGGTTTGGGTTCTTCCTCCCAGGTGCGGGGTTGGGTCTGGCCTTGTGTGGGTGCAGAAGCGCCAGGATGTGTTGGGGAAGGTGAGGGTCCCGGCATGATCCCGCTGGGGAGACGCATCCCCATGGTCAGGGGGTTGCAGGGGAATGGAGTGGGGCCTGAGAGGAGGAACCAGAAGAGCACATCAGCAAACATTATAATACATACAAGATGTTATCTGTTAGTACCTGACCTGATTTATTTATTTATTACACCCCACGAGCATAAATGTTTCTAAGAGAAAATCAAGACAAACTAAAAACAGGACAGAGTTTGTTAGAGCATAGCTGGGCACACCTGTAAACATTAGTAACGTGCACTGTCTGCAGCCTTGGAGAATAAGCCCTTTCTGTTGAGTGCGGGAAGACAATGACCAATCACAGGGGTTTAACAGCTCGCTCGACAATGCTCAAAAAGCAAGCGGGATAATACATTTATTTACAAATACATTCGTTTATTTGCTATAAATGTGCATGTTGTTCTGTGCATGTCCTTGAGTTTTGTTTGAATAGTTCATAAAGAATGTTTTTATTGAGCAGGTCAATTTAAAGGTACAATACATATCTAGCTAGCTCTCTGCAACTCTCACATGGTCACCCACTGAAGCTAAGCGGGGCTGTGGATGGGAGACCACATGGGAAAGCTAGGTTGCTGCCGGAAGTGGTGTTAGTAAGACCAGCAGGGGGCGCTCAACCTGTGATCTGTATGAGTCCTAACGCCCCAGTATAGTGACTTTATACTGCTCCGTGAACTCTGTCTTTCGTATGAGATGTTAAAAAAAGGTCCTGACTCTCTGTGGATGTTACTCTGTGGAGTAGGGGTTTACCTCTGGCATCCTGGCCAAATATGCCCACTGGCCTCCTAACCTATCCCCATATCATATTTGGCTTATTATCACTTGTCTCCTCTCCACCAATCAGCCGTTGTGTGGAGTGTGATCTGACGCAATATGGCTGCTGTTGTGTCATCCACGTGGATAAGGAGACTCCCCCCCCAAGACTGACAACTTTATTAGATAAAGTGGTTTTAAATAAACAGTAACGGTGTAGAGTACTTTGTGATTCTGCTTGGTCTTTTTTGGTGCTAATTAAACTCCCATATCAACCCTGCAGCTTTTTTATGAAATTATAGTAAATCAAATTTCTCCAAATCGTGCAGCTCCAACTCTGATCAAACACACCTACAGTAAACCATTTAATTAGGACCTGAACAGTACTTGATAATTACTTTCCCCCACAGTCCAAAGACATACGGTACAGGTGAATTGGGTAGGCTAAATTGTCCGTAGTGTATGAGTGTGTGTGGATGTTTCCCAGAGATGGGTTGCGGCCGGAAGGGTATCCACTGCGTAAAAACATGCTGAATTAGTTGGCAGTTCATAATCCGACCACGGATTATTAAAGAGACTAAGCCGAAAAGAAAATGAATGAATGAATGAATGAATATACACTAGATATCGCATACGAACCCTAAACATGCATCAATAGCGACTCCACATTTGTACAGTGCTCCCAGGACAAATTTTAGCGCTGTGTACAGGTGTAGTAACGAGCAAACAAATAAAACATAGCGCACAGGCAGAACATTTCATAGGTAAGATTTCATTTTGAACATTTTTGTTTGTTATGAAATTTTGTGCTAAATACTGATTATAATACAGTCACTTACTGCATTATTAGCCCCCTGTTTATTTTTTCCCCAATTTCTGTTTAACAGAGAAGATTTTTTTCAACACATTTCTACACATAACTCATTTCTAATAACTGATTTATTTTATCTTTGCCATGATGACAATAAATAATATTTTACTAGATATTTTTATAACACTTCTATACAGCTTACAGTGACAGGCTTAACTAGGTTAATTAGGTTAACTAGGCAGGTTAGGGTAATTAGGCAAGTTATTGTATAACAATGGCTTGTTCTGTAGACTATCTAAATAAAATTTTGCTTAAAGGGGCTAATAATAATGACTTTAAAAAGGTTTTTAAAAAATTAAAAATGATTTTATTCTAGTCAAAATAAAATAAATTCCCTCAATTTCTCCAGAAGAAAAAATAATATCAGATATATTGTGAAAATGTCCTTGCTCAGTTAAAAATTATTTGGAAAATATTTAAAAAAAAAAAAAAAAAATTAAAGGGGGGGCTAATAATTCTGACTTCAACTGTATGTGAATATCTCTGGCTCTAAATGGTCACAGTCCTCGACAACAGCTTGCTCCCGCATTCATTTCACAGGCGCGCTACCCTGTACTAAAATGGCAGCTGTACAGATGCATTCCTTCCAATAGACAACAACAGGGCAGGCAACATCTAATGTAAATATCTATGGATAATTACAGGCAGGTATGTTTGGTCAGGGTTGCAACTGAAATCTGCATGGAGGTAAATCTCCAGGAACAAGATTGGTCACCTCTGATTTAGCTTATCTCCTGCAAAGATTTTCTGATAAAGAAATGCGCTGCATGAAGACGCAGTGTAATGAAGTATCAACGTGTGACATTTTTCTTTCCTACATTCTCAAAAACTGCACTTCACCATGAAAATGTGAGTAAACACTGCTGAAATTACAATCATTGATCATCACTTATTGATCAGTATAACCACATCACATCCTAGAACTTCAAGTCTACTGGGGGGAAAAGGCCACTAATACAGAACTGTTTATTAGGATGTCTAATAAATGCGTATACCTATTATTTAACGTAATGTAATGTGTATTTTTATATAGTACATTTATTGTGTATGGCCATTCACCCAAAGCACTTCACAATCATGAGGGGGGTCTCTATACCACCACCAGTGTGCAACATCCACTTGGATGATGTGACGGCAGCCACAGGACAACGGTGCCAATTCGTTCATCACACACCAGCTGTACCATGAGTTGAGAGACAGTAATAGAGCCAATTTGGTGGATGGGGATGATTGGAAGGCCATGATCGTAAAGCCAGGACACCAGGGTTACACCCCTACTCTTTACGAGAAGGGCCATGGGATTTATAAATGACCACAGAGAGTCAGGACCATAGTTTAACGTCTCATCCAAAAAAATGGTGCCCACTGACAGTGTAGTCTCCCCTTCACTTCTACTGGGGCATTAGGACTCACACAGACCACAGGTTTAGTGCCCCTGCTAGCCTCCCACCACTTCTAACAGCAACCTAGTTTTCCCATGTGATCTGTCATCCAGGTACAGACCAGGCTCAGCCCTGCTTAGCTTCAGTAAGTAACCAGTCTTTTTATAGTAGTCAGTTTTATAGTATTATAAAAGGAACAGTCAATTTTTTCATAGTTTTAAATTGTAACTTGTGCTTGTAAAGATGGATTTTCAGCAGCATTAGTATTAAGTATATCACGATCATTTAGAATTTGACTGATTTACTGCTCAAACATGTATTGTATTTGAAATAAAACAATATTGAAGTCTTTACGGTCTCTTTTATTTAATTTATTGTATTCTTTATTTAATTTATTGCTTAATTGTTGTAAAAAACTACTTTGAATGGAAGTTTCACAATCAAATTTGCCGTTCAACATGAACAAACCTAAAATGAGCAATTACTTTAACTGGTAAGTGTGCATATATACCTGTAGATGAGGGCCTGTCCTCCCACACTCTGTTGGTGAGTGGTGTGTGACGGTTACAGTCTCCCTCTGAGTGGACAGAGGACACAGATGAAGGTCTTTCGCCTCCAGACAGGCCAGGACCAGGAGATTTAGTCTTGCGACCGTTGGAGCGCCCTCCTTTGGATTTGCCTGAATCCAAACAAAGCACACAAATAAGACATTTTCACACAAATGATTATTAAGCTATCTGGACACAGAACCAAATCAGTCAACTCATGAATCAGAAGTCAAAATTGGGTTATAGGTGATTGAGATACTACTCTATGCAAGAGTGTCAGTCTCAGTGAAACACAGTTTGGTATAAAAAAAAAAAAAAAAACACCTGAATGAGATCCTTTTCATCAACAAAAACTACACAAGACAACACCTGTGTTAAATATATTTTCATTCAATAAAAATGACTATAACATGATCCAAAAAAAATGTGGAATGAAATGAAGGTAGATGAATTGTGCGGGGTTGATCTGGCACACCTGGCAGGGAGTAGGGGTCTTCTGAACGCCCATCTGCTGAAGCTGGTGGCACGACTGCAGCTGCCCCTCCGGCAGCCATCGAGTTGACAGAGTTGGACGGCGAGCGCTCGTCCATCTGTTCATCATACTTGCCCATGAGGGCTTTCCTGATGATGGCCTCCAGACCGATAGTATTACCGCTGGCTTCTGGTGGCGGGTGGCTGCGCACACTCACGGGTCCTGAAAGAATTGCCATAATGCTTGTGTTAATGGAACAGAAACCTTTCTTGAGACTGTTGTGCAGGAAAAACAAAACACACATAGACTGTCCTGAACTGCTCACCTGCATTTGTAGAGACAGGCATGTTGAAGATTTCTGTCCCAGGTTGGCTCTGGTCTAAAGAGGAGATAGAAGAGACAGGTTTAAGTCTGTTTACCCAGCAAGACAATCGTGTATATCAATACCAGGCGTTTTCTCTGCAAAACAGAAACAATAAATGGAATCCATAGACTTACTGAACTCAGCCTCTGCGCTGATCTTTTTGATCATTTCCTTCTTGCTCTTGACAATGGCTGAGTTGCTCTCAGTCAGTTTACTGAAGAAGGCTGGGGGCTGAGAGCTACTGGCCGGAGAACGAGATCCCATACTGAGAAACAGACAGAACCAGTCAGAAAATCTGGACATTTCTTCGGTTGGTTTGACATAACTTAATTCCTAAATGAACCATTCTTAGGTGGAATGTTAATCAATTGGAAGTAACCAGCCATAAAGTATAAAATACACCTCTTCCATGTTCCAAATTCCTGTGCTAAAATGAATACACGAAAAAATGTGTGTAACTAATTTTTAAATATATCCGTAAATACATGCATTATTATAATCATTCTCAGTGTCAATTTGATTAGGTGTCCTAACACTCCTACTTTTAGTTTATTCTCCAAATTTTTGTGAAATTATGTGACATTCTGTGTAATACCACAGATGCTATTTTTCAGTTTTTACAGCACTGGCAGGTATGGAAATGACATGTTCTGATATCATTGCTCAATGACTCATCCTAACCACAGCCACATGTTAATGACTGAGTGCATCTCACTGATGGCATGCATATAGTCAAAGACTACACAACACAGAAGACCTGTTAATCATATAGATTGGAATGGGGAAAATTGTAATGAATTAAACCCTGCCTACTGGTATAGGAGCCAATCATCTTATTGACTGATGTTTCTCCAGAGGAGAAGCTCGGATCAGGGGCCTGTTTCAGAAAGGAGGTTAAGTGAAAACTCAGAGTATTTTAACCCTGAAATGAGAGAAACTCTGGGTTTTCCGTTTCAAAATGGCAGGTTTGTTAAACTCGAGAAAGCAGGGTAAGTTAAGCCTGTTTCTAAAAGAGAGTTAACTTTAACTCAGAGTCAGTTACCGTGGTAACTTACTCTGTGAATCTAACCTGGTCCGGAGCAGGTTTTATTCTCTAAACTCTGAGTTTCTGTTGGTCTCCTCCCCTTTTTAAAGATGAAGAGGTATTTCTCGCATTAGTCTTACATTTCCACACACCTATTTTAGAGCTCATTTTGGAGATGTGCATAAAAAAGATTGATGGAAACTTCATGATTCACATAACTTTTGAAAATACGCATAATATAACATGTGCATAACTGAGTAGGTTAAACTTTTATTTGATAAGATGCACATAAACTACGAAGTGCACTCAACAAATTACAGTATGTACATTAAAAAATTTGTTTGTTTGTTAGAGATGATGATGAAAATGTGTGTGAAAGGACAAACCAGCAGACTGAGCACACTGCAGAACATCTTAAATGTTGTTTTAGTCATTCTAAAATGCCTTTACTGTTTCAGTATTAGTGTATATTATTAATTACATCCGAGCGTCTGGAGCGTGTCAAGATCTCCGCGTCTGGCTTCAAACACCCCCACGTGTTCATTGCGTGTCAATTGTCTTCTGAGGCTCAGGTACATTAATTAAATAAAAAATAATTGATGCAGCTTCTTCTACCACAGTAATTCTGTTTTTACTGTTGATATTTGGCGCAGGGTAATCAGGAATTGACGATTGTGTTCTCTTCGACTCTTTGGATAAAAACGCTGCTTTATTTTTAGGCGTTATTCCAGTTTTGCACAAATTTATGTAATAGCCTATATTTTGATGGAAACACAGCTATTGCCTACATTTTTGTCACACACAGAACAAAGTCACGTACGAGGCTTGTCCTTTTTTTCATAAATAATTAGCTTAACCTTCGACATGCACTATTACTAGATTAATGGGATTATTATTCTGTCTAAATTATTGTATTACTGCTTACCTTCTTAATGTTATATCAACCTCTATCACTTGATCAATAAAAAGGCAGACACATAACAAGTGCACTGTTAAATCTGTTAAAACTGATAAAAGTGTAAAAAGTTTAGAAAAAAAGTATAAACGTCACACATTGCATTACTTATTTTATTATACTTAAAATGTTTAAATACTTAAAATTAAAAATTACGCATTAACTTGGTCAGCTGTTTTCCCACGCTGTCTCTGTTTCACTGATGGTTGCTTCATTTTAAATATATACACTCATATTTGCTATAACTTTGCATGAGCACATCAAGTTCAGCTGGAGAAAGAAATGCTGATCTCTTTTTTTAAGATGTTGCCATTGTCACTCGTAATGTCTGCGCTCCATTGATAATGCCTTTTTATAGTCACGGTGCGCGCGCTTAACTCTGAGTTGGTCTACTCAAAGTTGATTGACCCAACTCAGATCAGCTGTTCTGAAACCGAAAACTCAAGAGTTTTTAATCTCTCGGTAAATCAACTCAGAGTTCAAGTTTAAACTCCGAGTTGTTTGAACCTCCTTACTGAAACAGGCCCCAGATGTGTGCTTTGTGGTCAACAAACACTGGAATCTCAGTGAATACTTGCTTCACAGACATAAGAAAAATACAAAGAAATCTTAAAATCTGCACTTTTAAATGAACCAACTACAATTGCTATCAAAAGTTGGTTGATTTTGTAATCTGCGAGAAGCAGTCCATCCTGTCAAACGCACATCACATGACAGCAACTGCTCAGACGCCCACAAACATCTAAACAAAGATTTCTGGAGAAGATTCACCATCAAGACCAAGTTGTGGAACACATCAGAAGACCAGCGTGATTTGACAATCATTACTTAGAGGAAAGAACTGCCATAAATGAGGTTGGTAAAATATGCATATTTTATTTAGACAGTTAGATTTAGATGGTTGTTGTTTCATTTTATTGGTGATTTCAAATATGTAATGTAATCATAAGCTTGGTTAACAGTTTTAGAGAATTTGATGTTTCCCCATTCAGACAGAAAGCCAGAGCATACTGCCCAAGAGGCATTTCAAAAATGGTCACCGAGTGAAATGGCTCTCCTAAAGGAGACTTTCATATAGTAGGCTTTTTTTAAATCAAGTGACAGAACACACATAAGGCTTGTACATGCAACCAAACTTCATGTCAGTTATATTTTATTGCATTTAAGTGAAACTAAAGAGTGTTACATCTAACACTTTTATTATCGCAACTGATAAAGGATTTTCCATTATAAATACTAATCTGGTTTTACTGTGCAGCCATAAATGTACCTTATCAAATACATATAATGATCCCTCCACTTTAGGTGAGTTGATAAAGTTTACCCAGATCAGCTCATTTAATCTGTCAAAAGTGAAAGCCTCGCTTTCCTCACTGAGTCTGAAGGGAAGATGTGAAGAGCAACCAGTTTTGCCAACATTTTAAAATGAGATGTTTTTTCAGACTATTTTTCCTTTTAGCTGTGGAGTGAGGGGCTTACTGCCAGAATCCACATTTTTTTTTTAGCATTTTGGCTTCAGTTTTCAGCTCGCCCTGATTAAGTGCCCTAGCAACCTCTGAATTGCAGTTTTCAACAGTTTATGGTTAAGCTCTCCAAAAGCCCTGATTGGTGACAATGTGTGCTACATACCCCTGCTCAGCTTGTTCATTGGGGTAGTTGGCTCCTGGCGTCTCAGGCTCTGAAATGGCCCCTGGTGGTGAAACTGGTTCAATCCCATCAGCAGCCAGACTCACTGGAGAGGTTTTATTCTGAGGAGGAGACCTGTCTCTGCCCCTTTCTGCAGAAGTGCCCTCTGGGGTGTAGCGGGAATTGGGCTCTGTGGGGGTTTGGGCTTGAGGGGTGCTAGGTGGACGGGTGAGATCCAGCACAGGAGAGCTGTGATACCCATAACCAGGCGGGAGAGATGGTTGACCTCCTATCTGGTTTTGCTGTGACTGGCGTGTGTAATCTTTAGTGATCACCTCCTGTAAAAAGGGAAAGTTTGATTTAGTGATGTGCATGCAGGAGACAGGTACATGTTTACACTGAGAAATACAGCACCACAGCTTGTCTAGGGCTTCACAATATATGGTTTTGGCATTGATATTGCAATGTGGGCACTGGGCATCTCTGCAATGTGGAGCATTCAGCACACAAAATGATAGTGCCTGTAACTTTAAGAAACTCTAATTGTATTGGTGTCTAAATACAATGAAGGCTATACTGGGTCATTTTACATTTGATTATCCATTTTGCACTGTATACTGCTTGATTTCCACAAATGCATGAAATACCGCTTATTTAGTTTGTATCTTTGCTGTACTGCATTTATCAACGCTCTTGATTGGTGTAGTTTATTTCAGGCAGACGCTCTTCCCTATAAAATCATCCCGATTAGGGATGCTCATTTCGGTTAATTTTGCCAACCGCCACTCGTTAACCAAATAATAACCGTTAACAGATTAATATTAAAATATTATTTAATAAAAAAAATTTGATGTGCCAATTTTTTGACACATTAAATATTGCATTTTAAAATACTGATTTATTTTAACATGCGAACAGCATACAGAACATCTTCATGCACCTGCAGTGTTTTCAGCAGCATAGAAAAACTAAATAAACTAAACAAAAAAATAAAAAATAAATCCTGCCAGATTTGTTTGATTCATAGATTAGGCTGTGTAGGCTATTTAAAAACTTATATTATATATTAACTTTTAATAAATATAATTTTCCAAATGGAAAAAGGTTGGTCTGTTGGTTGAAGCCTACACTAAATTATCAACAAACTATTTGTTGAGTTTATGACACCCAGGCAGCACAGAGGTGATCAGCATCACCACTAGACTCTGTCAAACTGTGACCAGAAATATCCTTCTTTGGCAAAATACATCTGTAGGCACGTGTGTGCGCGAGTTAACAAATAAGTGTTGCACATTTCGGGGTCGATCACAGCGAACGCGCTTTTCCATTCCAAAAAAATACTTGGCGTACACACCGCCTAATATATTGACAAAAAAAAGAAGCACAGCTCTTTTATGTCACTAGGAAACGACTGAATCAGCTAAGCCATATTGTGCGCATGTATTGCTGTCAATTTTGTTATAATTTAAATTTTTAATAACATTATTATTTTCAAGATTTGTAATGTCATACAACTCTGGATGACTTGAAACAGTGACCACTAGTCTCTCCTCCATCATTAAAAGTTTGCTGTAGTCGTCTTGACAACCCAAACACTGCTGTCACCTCAAAGAAAACCCCACCTCTGTTTTCATTTGATTGAAGAATGAAAAATAAGCGACTGACATAACTCGCTTTTTTTTGCTTGAGCGCACATAGCGCACAACGGCAAAACGCGAGGTGCGCAGGGCACATAAACAATAGTAAAACACTATTATACTAAACATCGCAATATGTATGGCAGAAATTGTATATTGCAATGTCATTTATTTACAATATTGTGCAAAAAGATGGTTACGACAGGTCAGAAATTTGCTTTCCATTTACATTGTTTGATGAAAATAAATGCTGACTTGTTTTGGCGATTTAAAATAGAACCATTTTTGGGAGACAGTAACTTTTGTCATGCACTTTTGTCTTTAAATGTTTGGAGACCTTTTAAATTCACAAAGACCTACATTACATTAATGTTTCAAGTGTAAAAGAATACTTAAAAATAAAACAATTTTTTTAAACTGAATGCTTTTGACTGAAGCTGTTTATATGACAAAACCACTTTCTTCTTGTCTTCATTTTGCTGCTTATCAGGGGGCAATTTGTGTGAATGTAGATCTCTGTTATGAGTTCAGACTGCACGATTTTCAGAGTAGTCATGTCACCGCTGTTTTCACACTGCATGACTGTCTGGGGTAGAGTTCTGTCGGTGCCGTGTTTACACTGCAAAATTGATCGGCAACAGGGAATTTTTGCTCACCTAAGCAATGTCTCCTCAACTTTTTTCTTTTTGACTTGGATGTGATATTGCATGTCAAACAGACATGAGTGTTCCTGACAAACTTCCACTAGTTTTCCTTCATTTCTTGGGTTCAAATAAACTGAAAAGAAGCCCTTTTAACTTCTCCCCCAACCTCCCGCTGGCCTGCAGATACCAATACTAGTAGATGCTGCTCTCTCATTGGCTGTAGGTAACGGCTAATGTTATTTTCAATCAGAACACATTTCACACAGCATGATTTTAATTGCCGCCAGCTCCAAATATTTTGCATACCAAAATATCTCCCGAGTGTCAGCGACACCTCGATGATTCTCTCAGATTGCATCTTTGATAGTTCACACTGTGTGATTGTTACAAACTAGCACTGATTTGCCTGTGATTTCAGGCATTAGTCTGCGATTTCTCAAGACCTATCAGCGAGTCAAAATCAGGGCAAAAATCATGCAGTCTGAACTCAGCATAAGTCATTGTGCATCTGTTACTTTACTTAATGCCTGAAAAGGTACTATATACAGCCCTCAGATATGCGGTTGGTTCTAATATTCATTACTGTGCTGCAATAAAAGCATGAAAACAACAACACCAATGCAATGTGCAAAAATGGCTTTATAATGGACGTTTGTTTTCCTTCTCCATGATCGATTGGACCAATGACAAGTCGGTCTTCTGAACAACTGCTCTTTCAACTGATCAAAAAATCTGTACTGGCAGGTCACACTTACCAAAAAAAAAAAAAAAAAAGGAAATCAGAATCGGCCAAGGAAATTGCAATCTGAGCATCCCTCATTTTTACATGTGATCTGATCTACACAGATCATCCTTAAATTTCATACCAGGGACACTGAGGAGTGTCGTAATTCATTAAAGATTTTTTTTTACCATAAAACACAAACACAAAGTAAGGTTTTCCTCATTGTCTCTTAATTAATGAGATATCTTATGAATGGTGGGGAAAGAGTTCATCGTGACAGTTGACAGAGTTTTTGCTTAATAAAAGGCAATTGTGGCCTCCTATAACTGAATTTGTGGGATACTTTTCCAAGCCTCAATTAATTTGTGACCTTGTTTCTGCCATTACAATTCAATGCAATAAGTCACCAAAATGTCTCGATCTGACACTTACACTGATGTGCTGGGCGAGGGTCACCACTCTCTGAGAGCCTTTGACACCCGATGACGACTGCTGACCTGGAGAAAGTCTGTCTTCAGACCCGTACAGCTGTTCAAATGCCTTCTGTTGAGCTGCAGACACAGCTAGAGAAAAAAGACAGAAAAGAAGAGTTGAGTACAGTGTGGCAGAAGCCTCTGGGTTCCTCTGAGGGTGAGAGCAGAGACGGGTGTGTAAGCAGTGCGATCACATACAGGCTCTGGGTTTATATTCAATGACTTGCTCACATGTGTTCAGAGATCAAGCCAACATTATGAAGCATCCGACTGTAGCAGAGTGTAAGCACTGTGCCAATTCAGCAGAAATGCTTTGAACAGAAACACAACAATAAAATAGAAGCAAAATGAGTGTTTAAAATGAGATGTGAAGGTATGAGAAGCGGATGCATTTGCTTGATTACCATGTGAAAGAGCTAAAGACATTTTTCTTTTGCTACAGCTATATGTTTGGACCTCTTACATTGTATGCACACTATATCTAGGCTTATTTTTGCTAACAAAATAAGTTAAAGATCTTTAAAACCTATTTGACCTGACTGAAAATGAAGCAAAGGCACAGATTCTTACAGTATGATTCTGTTCTTGATCTTCCTTTTAACAGTTTTGAGAAATGTCCCTACTTAAATGCTAAACAAAAACAAAATTTCACTTGAGAAGTCTTGAAATCAATATAGTGGACTGGAAAAATCTTATTGGTTAAGAACACCCAAGAACAACATCGGTTAAACGCAAGGATGTGAATCCTCAGGAATGAACGATTCAGGTTCCATGTAAATATTCCAGACACTTGATAATTCTTTTAGTATTTTTTGGAAGCTTTGAAGAATGTGATGTTTTTTTCAGGACTCTTTGATGAGTAGAATGTTCAACAGAACATAATTTTTTTAAAATATGTAAATATTTTGTGACATAAATGTCTTTAGTGTCACATTTGAAAAATTAAATACATCACACAAATATTTAATCTAACTGAGCCTAAAGTTTTGAACAGCAATAACATTAAACAGACTGTTTCACTTCTTGTGGGATTTCAGTCTTTTGAACGATTCATAAAATAGTTGCATAAGAACTATTCATTTTCTAGTTAGCAACTTGCAAGAGCTTGGAAATCTTAGGGTGCTTTCACACCTACACTTTTGTTTCGGAACGTATCTCGTTTGCCCAGTTAGCGCGGTTCGTTTGGCATATGTGAACAGGGTAATCGCGCTCTGTTCCGCGCCAAAGTAATCGCTCCGAGATCGCTTGAATGAGGTGGTCTCGGCTCGATTGAAACGAACCCTGGAGCGGTTCGATCCGAGCGCGGTTATATCACAGTGTTTTATGGATATGTAATAGGCTTACGGCTATATGAAGAGAGAATTATGAGTATGGCGGGAAGTTTCGCGAGTCTCCGGATGCCCGCAAACGAGTGATGATCTCCCGGTAATCTTGCGTCTCCCTCCCGGTCCTCAAATAGGCATCGTCGCGCACTCTTCTCACCACTCCCCACCGGGTCTCTCCTCAGACACGTCACGCGCACACCCTGTCAATCACCACCAAACCACCACCTCTCCTGACAGCTGAGCGGAACGCTGCAAAATAAACCCTGACACTCTGACCAATGTGAGGAGAGTTTACTCGCACGTGACTTGTTTTAGCTCTTTTGGTCCGATTAGAAACTTTGCAGTGTGAAAGCGAACCACTCCAAGAGCAAAGAGCAACAATGTAACAATTGTAATCTCTGTTTCGGAACAACTGAATCGATTCACAGGTGTGAAAGCACCCTTAGTATGGCACTAATCACATGTTCTTATGACAACAACTTCTGCTGAAGATTCAGTAATGACTAGTTCGATCACTGTGCTGTTCAGACTACATGACTTGATTTTAGCCTGTCTATTCCGACCAATCAGACAAATTCACATCTGAGCTGTTTATGAAAATAAACGTCTTTAAATCCTTCTCCAGACACAATTAGCAGCTGCTTGATAATCAGTTAACATTTCTAGGATCATGCGAACTGGGAAAAAAAAAGATCATGATAAACCGCTGAGTTTACCTGGAAGATCTGTGTTCAGCTGCATGATGCATGTGAAGTTAGATTTATGTAGCCTACAGCATCAGTAGACTTTAGTTTTAAAAAGTATCTCACAACCTACAGCACAAACTCAAATGTACATCTCCATATGCTAAAGTGTTCCTCCATATGTTTTCATCGAAGCTGTTCACAATATCCATCAGAATTTGTAATGTTGTCAAATGTGTGAACAAGGCTGGGGTTAGAGCTTCTGCCCGATGGTAAGTCTTTTTTTTCTAGTTATTTGGTCCATCTCTGAGACTAAATCAGCATCAAGAATGCAAAAATTTTAAATAAAAGTAAAGTACTGATTCATTCAAGAAAAATACTGATTCATTTTTTAATACAAGCGGGGCCGTTTAGCTCATTTTTGAGTAATGATGTCAGAATTTACCAGTATTTTGGAACGGATGTGTGAATGGTCCTTTACAGAAAAAAAATCAGAACATCCTTGCCTGTGTGAACAGCACATATTTGTATATACCGGTAAAGCTGTTTTGGAAATTATTTACAGTGTGAAAGGGGCTTTTGTGACTTTAAATGAGAGGGTGCTCGCTGCAGAGACAGCTCCTCCTCCCAATAATATCCAGCTGCAGGCCCGCAGAACCACACACGTTTTAGGCACACACAATCTAGGACACACAATCTAGGCAAACCATGTATGGTTACGACGGATGTTAATGTTATTAACGTCTTTTTGAACATCGTCATCGATATATTTTGAGATATGTGGTTAATAAATATTGTACACAATAAACAATAGTGTTTACTTTATTTCACAAATATTGCGATCGAGACGGGTGAATGGGGAGCATTGTGTCCGATCGCCATTCAATATAATAGACTGAATAGTTTTTAATCAGTCATGATAGCTGATCAGTCATTATTATCTGACAATAATATAGCAGATACTCGTTTGCTGGCCTTGCTGAACGATCTAATTTGGACAGGTTTAATTTACATAATGCATTAATTTTTGATGAAAGAAATAATAGCAAGTTAATATAGGCAATAATACATTATATGTAGTAAAAATATTTTTTACATGTAACAAATGTATAACACTATATTATTTTACTCAAGCGATTTAATAGTGTTTATTTATTTGCTTAACTTTCTAATAATCTTTTAATTAATGATTTCCCACATTTAATACTGTAGTAATTTATAGTAAGCAATAAATTGTTTTTAAACCAAAATTTTGCCATAGGAACAAATTAACTATTAATAATAAAAAAATAATAAGTATATATATATATATATATATATATATATATATATATATATATATATATATATATATATATATATATATATAATATATAAATATAACCAACAGCTGTGACAGTTTGGTAAAAGCTAGTAGTTTATATATAAACTTATTATAATCAGATAATCAGTTAAGATAATCAGTTTATATATATATATATATATATATATATATATATATATATATATATATATATATATATATATATATATATATATATATAATGTTTAAATGATTAACTATAGTAGGCTAATTTATTTTAAAGTGACATATTATTGTTTGCTTTTTATATTTTACAAGAAAGTGATTTTAACCAAGTATGATAAGATTAAGATCTTGAATTAATTTATTACACTTAACCCTACAATTAGACGGTCTATGATTTCTTTGTGTCTGTGGACACATGAATAAAGTCATAATTGTCTTTAACCAATTAGTTTTATTTACATAATTTGAGTTTAGAAACTGCAGAGATGTTAAAATGATCGTAACGATATAATAATAATAATGACTGAAATGGGACACCATATTTGTGAAATTCAATAGGTGGCGACCATATATGGTTTGCCTAAATCGTGTGTCCTAGATTGTGTGTGCCTAAAACGTGTGTGCTGCGGGCCTGCAGCTGGATATATCTCCCTCCTCCTAGCTGTTTTAATGCATACACCTACCACGCCTCTAACCCCAACCCCCAGTTACATCACTTGCGGAAGAAGTGCAGCAAGGAGGAGTTGGAGCTCAGCTCTGCCCATGTGGCTCGCAGTGAGTACAACTTGCTTTAAATTGCTGTGGTGTTCATACTCTGTGACACTACATAGATGATCCACAAGAGGGCCGTCACACACTACAGGATATGATAACAACTCTGTCACACAATAACTCTCCCCAGCCCCTAAACTACAGCTAATAAAACATTGAGGACGAAGCTGTCAGAAAAAGCTGAACATTATTGGCTGCTTGTGTGAAAACATCACTGATGCAGCATTTGAAGTCTCTGAAAGCAGAGAGCATTTGAAAGCATCGTCAATTCGCTGGTCTGCAACATAGAGTTTAGTCAGCCAACTGGTCTGGAATATTTAGCATGCTATATTTTGGATTTTCGTCTGAAGTCGTTCACTAGTTCACACACATAAAGATCAAAAATAAAGATTACTCATTTCTGTTAGCAAGCATGTTAACTAAAGCTTAAAATCCTGTAGTGTGAACTAAGCATATGATGTATTGTAGTATTTGGTCCTGCAGATGATCAACACCTATTGGGAACAAACACTTTAAAAATAATTTAACTCCAGCTCTTTCCTTAGATCTAGTTTAATGGTCTCCTTTATGCAGCTATCAAACTGCCAAAGTGCCAGTGTGCCCTATCTCAAAAAAAGGAAATGAAACAGGAAGCAAACATGTAGTACTATGAAACGTTCTCCAAATGAGAAAAAAAGAAGAAAAGGAGGAACACAAGACGCAAGCCGATAAGGATGTTATGAAACAATGACTAACCACATCACTGTTGAATGAATGAGTTCTTAAAGTTCACCTCAGGATCTCTCTCGGGTTTGAATAAAGCTGGACGCCAGACGAATCTTTCTGGACCGTTAGGGCGTGATTTATCAGTCGACTACGATATACGCCTGTGGCCGTTACAAAGCTCAATATGTTTAATGAGCTTCACTGTTTTAAATTGTGGACGTTTGGACTGAAACATGCAGAATCTCCCCTCGAAAGTCAGATTTGACAAAGGGTTCAATGAGATGACGCGAAAAAGGGGAGGAAAACCTTTGGTGGTCTTTAAGCAATGCTTCAGATGCCAAAAAATAAACAAAAAGCAAAGTGTAAAAAGCATATTCAAAGGAAAAAAAACTGAACGAATAATGGAGACTGGGTTGATTCTCATTAATGCCAACCACCACAAGCGTGCACTAGGCCACAGACGTAAGGGGCAGGGGTGCAGGATGGGCAGAGGAATGATGAGGGAGGGAGGGAGGGAGGAAGGGAGGGAGAGGGTTTTGGTGGACTGGTAGAGAACAGGAAGAATGGGCAGGGGAGGGCTTGGATGTGGCGTTAACGGCCCAAAGGTCCCAGAGCATCTTACCATCACAGGTGCCGTTGGTCGCGAGCGCACCAGTCTCTGGCATCGCCGCATCACAAGAAATTTGATGCATGATTATCGCGTTTATGAAGTTGGCCGCTGTCATGGTGGTCTTACCGAGTGCTCGAAGTTCGTGTTCCTGTATGGACATCACTTTGTTTTGAGTCTTTTCCCTACTTGACGCGCTGCTGCCGCTGTCCCCGCCACGGGATTGGATGGAACTGCCGCCGCCGCCACTTTCGGGCGCCAACAAGGGGTGCCCTCGACTTGTGGGCAGGTGGGCAACAGGGGCCTGGTTGTATGGAGAGGGATATGTACCACCGGCACCAGGACTGGCGAGCTTGGAGTCAGATTTAGAAGAGGATGAAAGGTCTTGGTGTTTGGGCAGACCTCCTCGCCCATGGCTTTTGCCCCCATCTCTGCTCAAGTCTTTAGCACTTGGGTCCGTTCCAGATGGGTAACCCTCACCGGGTAAACCAGACCTCTGGAGGTGCCCACTGAAGCCCTGGTAGCGAGCAGAGCCTGGTGGTCTGAAGGAAGAAAAGCAGAAACAAATTAGAGCCAGCTTTAACATGTTGATCTCACTAGATGGAGCTTCAGACAGCAGTTTGAGTGGGGAAGACTCACCGCAGCACAGAAGGATTGTTGTGCTCAGAGTTTGACAGGCTCTTGGAGCTGGTGTTGTGCAGGACGCTTGGTCTCTGCTGCAAGCTGTCCTGGGGACGGGGCGAGAGCGGGGACTGGTGACTGTAAGGATGAGAAGGGGGACGAGAACTGCTGCCGCTCATCTGTTCAGGTGCTCCTGCTCAGAAACAAAGTTCAGATTTTTAGCAATACTGAGATGCATTTAAAAGATTCACCGAAGTGCACTAAAGCTAATTCTACAATTGACTGCTTGAAGAAGAAATGCTTTCGGTTCACTTTCAACTTCATATTAAATTAATTTTAACTATACAACAATGTTGTTAACTTAAGCTATTACCAAGAAATTCAGTTACTGAAATATGTAAAATATGAAAAAAAGAAACATTAAAAGAAATACATATGTTCCAAATAAATTAACTATCAGATATTTAAGAATGATTGTACCCATTTAAAATAAAGAGGTGCTGAGGGGGTCTCACCTGGTCTCCATATAGGTGCGTGCTCCACGTTACCATGGCTGAGAGACTTGTCTCTTTCTCTGTCCCTGTCTCGATCTTTCTCACGCTCCCGGTCTCGATCTCGCTCCCTGTCCCTCTCTCGCTCTCTTTCTCTTTCTCGCTCTCTCTGCTCTCTTTCTCTCTCTCTCTCCCGTTCTCTTTCTCTTTCAGCAGATGATGAACCACCTTGGATCTTGCTCATGTGAGAGGCTCCTACTGTTAAGAAGATAAGCAATAATTAAGGTGAGGGAACTGAACTTGTTTCAAAAAATATGTTTGAAATTAGCATGCTACTCTGTACCTGGTGAGATAGGAGAGGTGTTGTAGGCTCCGCTAGGGAAACCTGGAGAAGTTCCTGGGATATATGTGATACGATCCATGGGAGATGCAGATGTTCCTGCAAGAAAACATAAAAATGTACCTCTAAAAATTTAATACCATTTGTTTAATTTAAATAAAAATGTTATATAAATGCTCAATCTTTTTGTAAAGTGTCTATTCCTGTGTTGAATCTTTGCTTGATGACTGACTTGACTGACAGACAAAAACAAATAAGAAGTGAATACTATGTTAATTGTAAGATTTGACGCTTTTCAGAAAGGCTCACCTCTAGGCGTGGGTGAATAGGCTAAGTTTAAGGACTGCTCTCTAGGTGTGAGGCCTCTGAGCAGGTCAGGTCTCTGGGCAGCCATTGCAGCGGCAGCAGGCCACTGGTGCATCTGCTGAGAGGTAATGTAGTCATTGAAAAGCGTTTGTCTGTTTTCCAGGGCTGCTGTTTCAGGGAAACAGCCTCTGATCAGGTAGGGTGGATAGGGGTGTGGGTAGCCAGGGCCAGGAGCCAGGTGACGAGGCAGGTAATACGCTGTGGGAAAGCAAAGACAAACTGAGATGATGCATAACATAATACATGAAAATTTTAATGTTTCCAAGTATAATTAATGATCATGGAAAATTGCACACTGACATTTTCTGCTAATCTGCAAATATGTGGAATACCTGAGTCAATCGGGATACCCCTGGGCAGAGCTGCAGCATCAAATGTTAAATGAGACATCTGGCTACGGTACATGTCCGGTCCCAACCCAAGGATCCTCTCGAAGGCTAAATTTGCAGTGTGCTCACCCACTGCCAATGGAGACTTAGTGGAGCCCATCTCTCTTGGGGTGGGGGTGGCCTTTCTCTCCTGCTGTTGGGGTTTACTAGAGCCTAAATATACACAGAGAAACAATGTTCAAACCTCAAAGAAAGGACATTAGCTACTGAATTTTCTCTGACTGGATGATCATGATACCTTCATGAGCGCGCTGTGAGTTTTCTCTGCCAGACAGTGGAGAGGCTCTGTGTGAGGGCGGAGGGTAGCTGGATCTTTTATGATCTTCATACCCCACTGGACTGTGGTGAGGCCTGCTGCTCTGCTCTCCACTCAGTGCCAATGGAGAGACACGGGACAGAGAGCTGGGGGCACTGACTACAGCACTGGGTCGAGATTTGCCCCCTGCCTCCTCATAACGAGCCCTGTCGGAACCCCTGGGATCTAGATGAGAGGGCAGTCCGGAATATGGCCGTGGAGAGCTGGCAATGATGGAGCGCACATCATGCCGCTTGGATGAGCCGGGGGGCTCTTGTTTCAGAGGTGTACCCTGTAGATGGCACATTCAGTGAGTATTCAGGTCTCAATATTGTAAACAAATAAAACCACAAATATGAGTATTTAAAGCCTTGTATGACTTTCATCAGTTCCAAGGGTTTAATCTGTACCAACTCTAAGTTTCCAATTCAGAATTATTCTATCCAACCATAATATTAAAATGCGCTAAATTTGAAGCAGTTCAAGTAATTTAACTAAATTCAAGATAAAATCACCTGTGTGATTGAACCCTCCTTGGGCTTGCCAATTACAACCCCCTCAGGTGGAATCAGATGGATGGAGCGCCCTCCCTCTTTGACTGTGGGTACCATACTCTCGTGTGAGCGTGATTTCAGAGCATCAGTGGAATGACCAGGTCCACGGGGTGATGGGGAGCCCTCTCTTTTCATCTGCTTAACCTCCCGACGCTGACAATCATCCCGTGGGATTCCTGAGAGAAATAATCAAGGAAATGAATCCTTGTGGAAGCTAAAAGTGATCGGTCAAGGTTATGTTTGGAAGATCGTCCTGACCTTGTGATATGGATCCACGGATGAGTTGCGGATGAGGACTATCTCGATCTGGAGGCATTGCTCGAATGATCAGGCCTGCACAAGAGAGAAACGGCAGGTGAAGGATAAACAGTGAAACTACATGTCTGCGACTTCTAAAAGGGATGTTATGCTCACCTTCAGATAGGGGGTCTCTGATGGGTGGCACACGAGATGAGATGCCAACCTCCATCATATCATAGGACCTCTTCATGCCAGCCCCCACATCCCCACAACCCTCTTCTTTAGAATTTGGACGCCCTGTTCAAACATTCACAAATCAGTAAGTTCTGCAATTTTTAGACATTTGCCTTAGGTTATAGGCACTTAGATTTGTACACTCACGTTCAAAGGAAAGGATGTGTCCGCTGATGCCCTCATAGACTACATGCCCCTTAGAAGGAGTGTCCTCTCTGCTTCTCTCTCGGCTGGGACTGTCCTCATTGATGAGACGGGTTATTGTGCCCTTATATAAGACATCTGCAGGAGTGCCCTGAAAGACACGACAGAGAAAGCTTCATGTCTGAGAACTGTGATAAATTGTTAACTGAGAACTAAAGAGTGGGACTTTTGCTGCTTTGACGGCTGTGATCTGATGTGATTTATAGACTTTTGGTAGCTAGCGATTATTTCCCAGCTCTCATAAAAAGCCATTCAAGATTTCGTTAAGACAAGGAGAAGTCTGAAATAGGTTAACCTTTGTATTGTGAAGAAAAAAGAACTCAAATGAGCAAGTACTTTTTCTCACTGATATTTCAAAACCATCATATTTTTAGGTTACAGTTGTGAAAATAATAACCATGCTAAACTATAAGAGGCTGCCAGCTTTTTTGGTGCAAGAAATCATCCCAGGGATAAATATAAACATCTGGGGCCTCATGTATCAACGCTGCGTACGCACAAAAACTTTGCGTACGCCAGGTTTCACGCTCAGAATCGCTCACGTTTGGATTTACTAACAATGAACTGAACGTGGGAATGTGCGCAGCTTCACAGCAGCTTTCTGGCTGGTGTACGCACATTTTTTGTGCGTGTCTGTTTTATTTCCATTGGCGACTCCTAGAGGCAGTTGTGTTAAATTCCTCTCTACAAAGTGTCTGAGCCTTGCAATGGCAGCTGTATGAGACGGGTTCAGCAGGTATATAGGGTTTCCATACCATACAGTTGACCAGCTAAACATTAAAGCACAGTTTGCAGCAGTCGCCTGTTTTCCCAATGTAATCTGAGCGATCTACCGCACGCACATTGCTATAAAGACACTGTCTGAAGATTTGCATGCGTGAATCAGAAACATTTCCATTCAATAAATGTGCAAATAAAATATGATGCACAAACTTATTGATGATTCCTACTTGTCTTTCTCGTGATAAATAGTAGGCAAACTCTGATATGTAGCGGGGGAAAAAAGAAGAAAGAGTTCATCAGACGCTGGATTCGAGCCGAATTCATGCTCGAACGTGTCAATACATGAACACATGCGTCTTACAAGCTGCGCCACTGAGACTGTTAAGGATGCTGCAACATTTTACAGATATAAACCAGACTATTTATTTTTTTAATGCACTCAGTGCGATGTTCAGACTTAACTGTGTTGACCGCATCAGCTAAACTCTCCCACTCTATTTTTTTCTTTTGTTGTTTATTCCGGTGAACAAACTTGCAAATAACACCGCTTTTCTCCGGTCTACCTCTGAAAGCAGCACCTCCAATTCACATTCTGTTCAAAGTTTCTCTTTTTGCTTGCTTTTGCCATTGCTTTATCGTTGGGTTTTGCCATTAGCATAGTCATTAGCATATTCATACGGGGGAGGAGGCAGGGAGAGGTTTTGTGCTCGTGCATGTTGCGCTCAGTTTCACGTTCATTCGGATGTACAAAAGAATATGCGTGGGATTCAGCGTACGCAGTGTTTTATACATCTGAATTTTTTTCTGCGTACGCACATTTACAGCTTTGTGCGTACGCAATGTTTTAGTAAGATTTCCACGCAAGTCTTCGTACATGAGGCCCCTGATCTTTAATTGGCGGAGCAGATAATGTCTCTACACAGAACACATCATAGAGCTGCCTATGACAGTATCCTCTACCTGATATCAGGTGAACAGTTACTACCAACGGCTCCTTATCGTTCATTATCTCTTCCAAATGTCATCCAGTCAAGCACACGGCTTATCTCTGTGTCTTGACCTCAGTCTGCTTAAGTGCTCGCCCAAACTTACTGGGATTTGCCTGAGCATGCAATGTGTCGTAGTAGGTCAGTTGGCACTTTGAGTGTGTGTTTGAGTACCGTCAGGCTGTGATGAGACATAAACATTAATAAAAGAAGAAAGGAGGACGGAACGCTGTGTACCTGTTGTTATGGCAACTGACGGCCTGTTATGTCATAAAGTGACGCAGTATTTGCTGAAGAACCATTAATCTGAGCTGACTGCTCATTGTAATGTGTGGACTCAACAATAAGAACATCATGTAACAGAAAAACCCACTAACACAAAATAGTTCACTGCGCATTTTACACAGTACAGGAAAAAGGGAGAGCTTGTCAATGCCTTTTGTTTCATACACAAGACCCAAAGCATATATGTTAAGTAAGGGATAATCTTCATCTAGGTGGTTGTTCTCGCAGAATAAAACCGGACAGGCTTATCATCTGCCTGACATGCAGCAGAGGGCTGTTGTGTAAGACTGAAGGGCTATATTCTGCAAAAACACCTGTATAGATGTGCATTATCCTACTTATTACATGGCTACTTGCCACACAACTAAACAGTTAGAAACAAAACGTTGATCTAAGCTGTAATAATTTATTAACTCCAATTAAAAGCTGACAGAAATAAAATTAGCTGAATGCAGCCTACAGTAACTTACTTCAGTGCTTCCCACACATAGACTTTACTTGGGTGCGACACTAGGTACATTAACGGCCACCTAGGTATAAGTGGTGACATTTATTTTTTTATTATTATCATCCTTTTACACTTTTTTGTATCTGCCCAACAGCCAAATATCCGCGATTGATTACCTAGTGAAAAATAAACACTATTTATTCTTGTAATTATTATACTAATTAGAGATTTTTATTCCATAGACGTTTTTATTCCTTTATGTCATTTATTTAGTTAGTATTTTATAGATATTTAACATGCTTTGGCAATACTGTCTAAATGTCCGCAGCAAATTTTACCTGTTGGTGGGTGCACATGGTTACTGAATATAATAAAAGTAAAACAAATAGTGGATTTCTTTTTTAAAGAGTCCATATCATGGGTTTTTGAAAATGCCCTTCCATGTAGTGTGTAACACAGCTCTAAGTGAAGTGAAAGGAGGGTTGTGTGTGTGTGTGTGTGTGTGTGTGTGTGTGTGTGTGTGTGCGCAAGGATGAGGACAATGTGTGTGTGCGTGTGTGTGTCTGTGAAAAGAGCAGAGTGAGACAAGCTAGGAGATCTCCTCGACAGTTTTTGCTCAATAAAATAGTCAGTCATCTGTATTTTCAAGTCCATCGTCTGTATTTACATTGACCCACTGGCAGCTAAAATCCACGCCTTACACTATCGAGCGTGTATGAACTGTGACTACTTCTATATTGCTGATTAGCTGCTAGGCATTTTACTCTGTCTATCACTGAAGGCAGTCGACCAATCGCAACAGACTGTCATCGGTCCAATCAGCACAGATTAGCTTCGCACTAAGGAGGGTTTTGGGAACAAATGAATCACTGGACGATTCATACGGGAGTCGCTGGGATAATTATGTAAAAATAAATGCAGATTATAAGACCATGAAAGTGTTTTTTGACCTTGCATGCATATTAGACTGTTGCTAAAGACCCTTACAACCAAAATATGACCCTATTTCATGTATAATATGGGCTCTTTAAGGGTCATAAACCTTCCCTCTTTCGGTTCAAGTCTACCTCAGAATTTTTTCAAAAAAACTCTTCATGATGGGTGTGGAGCGCTGCGAGCAGAGGGAGGAGTGAGTGTGGCCGGCAGAGCAGGGGAAAAAGAGGAGAGCGAACAACTGTTGTGATTTAGCTCACAAAACGAGACCCATGATTTTATAGTTTACAATATTAAAACTGCAAAGAAATAAACAATAAGTAATTTAATGCCCTGCTACATACGGTATTCGTAATTTCATATACACATAACTACAATTATAAAGATAATCGTGTTTATATAAACACTATAAATGAGGAGGACTTCCCTCCTACTGAATCCCCGATTCTGAATGCAGACACAATGGATAGCAGTGCGGCAGGTTTCTTGCCTTGTCTATTTAAACCATTAGCCCTGCCGGTAATCTGGAGGATTTTAAACATAGGTGAGCACCGCAGCACAGACATAGGCAATGTGTCTAAATGGGAACTGATAAAAGATAAAGTCCGGCATTCTCCAATTCTCGCATAGTTCTCCCGACAACAGTGCTTGCTTTACACAAACAAACAAACAAACACATATGACTCTTCATGAACGCTATATATTGCAAGCCATATGCAGAGTCCGTGGACATATAGGATAAGAAAACTCAGCTATGAATAATAATGAGAAACCGATGCGTCATCACTCCACTAGCAGATTCGCGTTACGTCACAGTTTTTGATCGATCTCCAAAAATTATTATAAACGGAAGATGAAATTAGCTGACAAAAGCTCAAAATTATCCAGGTTTCTCAACAATTAAAGCTGAAAGGTGCTAACGTTTTCTTAACTGATGCTCAACACACAAATCTGTTAAAATCTCAAAAAAGTACTCGAGGGTTTCTTGAACCTTTCATTTAAATACTTTTAAATATTTTTAAATACATTTTTTATTTTTTTTTTGTCGCATGTAGTTAACCATGTGCCGTGGTAAAAGTTGTTTAAATAAGGCTACCACCGCAAGAATATTTCAAAATGTGTCGGAAGCACTGTATTTGTATTGAAACTTTTCAGTTACAATATGGTGCCAAAGTCAAAAATAGTCATAAACAAGGATAAGCATATAAACATGAATGTGTTCATTAAAACTCGAGGTGATTCGAAGTACCCAGATGAGTCTGTGTTATTCGTTTCAGCAGTTGTTATCTGTGAATAACATTCCTGAATGTTGCTACTTACTAGGGCTGCACAATATATAGTTTCACCATCGATATTGCAATGTGCACATCAGCTATCGTCACATCGCAGGATATGTTGAGTTCAACATCAACAGTTCAGAACACAGGAGAATAGTGTATATTTCAGAGTTTAAACATAATGGAGTGAAAGTTTTTCATTTGCACGTTTTTACAGCCTGAAGTTTTCAGCCACAAGATATTTTACCCCTTTGTAACTTTATTAATGTATATTTTATTAAATTATTTATACAGTAAAGACTTTTACAGTGTTATTTTACATTGATTAGTCCAAGGATGACTGAATACTACAGTATTTGACTGCCCTGAAAAACATAAACACTATTTAATCACATGTTTATCTTTGCTCTTTTGAATTTATCTATGCTTGAAATTTGTTTATTATATTTTAAGCATAATTAACTTACCTAAAGAATTATCCCAATCAGACTAATCTAATAAATTCCTTTCAAATAGTAGTTTTCAAGTTATCTGGTGAAATTGTATAGACTGTATATCACAATATTTATTACAGAAAAGCTAAATATTGCAATGTCTGATTTGTCCAATATACTGCAGCCCTACTACTTACAAAAATAAAATATATTTATTGTGAATAAACATTTTCATCAGTCATTAAAAGCAATTGCAAACACCCTTTTCACTGTGTGAGATTCTCACCTGAGTGATAGAACCACCTCGATATGATATGGGAGAATCCTGGTGCACACGTGTGCCAGGGATGCCCTTTGTAATGCTGCCACCCTGAACAGCTGGCATGGGTCCTAAGAGACACAAGAGTTAATGATGTTTGAAATCTATTTGTGCATGAACTTTAGTCCTCCACTTTAATCTCTTTGGGCTAAGATTAAATTGAGATGAGGGATGATGATTTGGCCCAAACTCACCCCGTGATGTAGAACTGTCCTGTGTGGAAAGATTCTCAGCCTGAGAGGAGGAGGAGGAAGCCCCACGAGGAGACAACTGCTCTTGTTTAACAACTGGAAACCCGCCTGAGGAGACAGAAAGAGATGTTGGATATGGAAAACAGATAGCTGACTTGTGATGGCTCGGGTCTCGCGCTTACCCATTTTCCTCTGGTCCACCCAGGAGAGAGCCAGTGATCCTGGAGCTGGGACTTTCCCATGCTCAGAGCCATGGGATGGATTGTGCAGTTGCACTGGAGTACCCTGCAATTTAATACAACATGAACAACAGCTTAATTATGCACATTAAAACCCTACAGTATTGATGAACGGTCACAGTAACGCTAACTCATAAGACTGGCATATCAAGATAAAGTGTCGCTCTCACCTGTGTGATGGAGCCACCAGGTTTGGCAGAGGAGATGAGGGGAGGGGGTTCTGGAATATGGAGAGGCCGCACTGCAGCCATTCTGTCCTGTGGCTGTAAAGTGGAAGCTAACGCTAAAAGAGATAAATAAATTATTAGAAATGTATATGTAGGATTGTTGACATGGCATTGTATTTTCACTGTCACAGATGACAGATATCTACACTACTGGTCAAAAGTTTGGGGTCAGTTTTTTTTTTTCAGAAAATAAATCTGTTCATCAAGTTGGCATTTGTTAAAAAATTTTATATATCAGTAATTATTAATAATAAATGTAATTATTAAACAAATTTTAAATAACTGCTTTCTTACTGTATGTAGGTTTCAAATGATAAGATTACTCCAGTCATTATTGCTTTTATTACTATTACCTCTAATAACAACAGTAATAATAATAATAATAATAATAATAATAATAATAATAATAATAATAATGATAATAATAATAAGAATAATAATAATAATAATAATAATAATAATAATAATAATAAATAATAATAACAATAATAATATTTCCCAGTGATGGGTTGTGGCTGGAAGGGCATCCGCTACGTAAAAACGTGCTGGGTAAGTTGGTGGTTCATTCCGCTGTGATGACCCCAGATTAATAAATGGAATAAGCCGAAAAAAATGGAATGAATGAATAATTACAATAATAATAATTAATATTAGTGTGATTTCTAAAGGATCATGCCACTGAAGACTGGAGTATTGAAGCTGAAAATTCATCATTAAAATCACTGGAATAAATGATTTAATTAAATAATAAACTACGTTTGAACAGTTATTTTATAGTGCAATAACATTTCACAATTCTACAATTTGTACTGTATTTTTGATGAAATAAATGCCGCCCCGGATAAGCTTATTTTAAAACATTTTAAAATCCTACTGACCCTAAACCTTTAATCGCTAGTGTATATAATTAGTATTGACATCATTTAAAACGCAGCAAATGGTTAAACATTTCTTTGTCTTTTATGGATCTTGTTTTAAAAATTGTAAAAGCTTACTTTTTTAAACCAAATGTCTAAACTGTCTTATGGTATGTCTCAAGCATAGTTCAATAAATTAAATTTCTTAACTTAAAAAAGACAATCATAAAATCATTAATAAACACCTCAGGCCTAATCTGTGGCTATTTTCGAAAAAGGAAATCTTTTTTTTCTTCTTTCAAATGTTTTTAATGTAGTAATAGTCACATTACTTTTTACGGTTGGGTCTGATTTAGTTTGGATAATTTTTCCACCACCAACGAACAGCTCCATGGTTCGTTTGGTTGATTGCTACATTCACACCTGCCCAAACGAACCGCAGCAAGAGGGAAAACAAATTCTAGTGCGATTCAACCGAACTAAATAGGGCATGTGTGAAAACCACCTAAATCATAATATAATAAGTATGAATTCGCCTGGACAAAGCGGGCTTATGTGACTCCACGCTAAGGAAGGTAAGTGAAAAAATTGACCTGGAAAAATTAGATCCGATTATAGGTTCTAAATGTTGATTTCAATTACTTTTCAATTAATCGCCCAGCCCTAAGTCATGATGAAAAAAAAATTGGTTATTTCATATAAAGTATATAGCGCTATATGAGGATAAGTGTCCAACAAAGAAGATAAGAAGCTCTCCCACTATTTGTATATTATTAAGAGTTGGTTTCATTAATATATTGCACTGTCACACCAGAGAACTCATTTAAGGTGCATAAGGTCAGTAAAAATGTGTTAAAAAACAAAACAAAACAGTGAATGACTTTATAAAGTTAGTGATCCTTTATAATTTCTCAAACATAAAGCTTCAAACTGCATAAATATATTTATTTTTCCTTGTATAGTTAATCCAAACAGCCTATTCAACATCATTTCTGAATAAAACGTGACATGCACAACTTATATTAATGTGTACTATCATCAATATTGATGGGTGTGACTATGTAACACTTTAATTCAATTGACAAGGCAGTGCTCTCTTACAGGGATTGTAGTGTAGCAGCTGTTCTTGGCTGAATTTGGCCATGTCTCTGGGCGAGAGGTACGATGACATCACTGGCCGGCCTAGACCTAAAGCCCGAATGTCATCAGCCCCGGGATTCTTCTTGCCATCTGCAAGAGGAGAGAACGCCCGGGATTTATCTGCGCACATGAACAAAACACACAGAAGTGACTGTCAACCAGATGATGACTGGATTGCAGTCTGTCACACCTTGTTTTTTTTTTTGTTTTGCCAAAGGTAAAGATGTCAAAGCTCAAATCAACACAACCCCTGTATGAAAAGTAGTATGTGAAAACACGCAGACAGCAGTTATTCAGACTCCAAGAGTCTACAAATCACCAGGCTCATCGGCACTCTGTAAGCTGAAATCTGTGAGCGTAGCGGCATGCAAACACATCTGCAGATCATTCACACTCCCAGAAATCAACACGCTTGATTAGAGGCTGCTCCAATAGTGTGCGGGTATGCGTGTGTAAAAGTGTAAACCTACGTAATCCATGTAGCAGAGCCTGAAGCCATCTCTCGTTCCCCTCCAGCTCTGCAGGGACAGACACACTGCAGCTCATCACATGGCCATGACCAAACACTCTCTTTTCTCTCCATGTGCTCAAAAGAAGCAGTTTTGGGATTTATCTTTGTGCTGAGAGCCCAGACAATCAAACCACAACAACCTTTGCTAAACAACGGGACATTTTTGTTTTGGGGGATTCACATTTAATTGTATGCAATAAAACCTGGAGAAAAATAGCAATCTGCTGATATGATCAGGTTGAGTTTATATTATTACTGTATTGCCTGCACTCATAAAGGGATACAATTAAATATATGCAAAAAAAACTTTATGTTAATAATTCATCATTATGAAAACTTAATGCTTATGTTGTTAATTATATTCTTTAGTGATCATTACAAACCACATATTTCAAGGTACAGTTTAAAATAAATATAAAACCATGCCTTTCTTGTACTAATGTGGTCACATTTTGTCATCCAAGAGTTTAAAATTCAATCTGACATGAGCTATTTGCATATTCTTATTAAATGACAACTTATTTACATTATGTGATGTTTTTTATAAGTTGTTTACATTTTAAGACTTTTTATTCAAAAACAAAAAACATTTTATTTATTCTACAGTTAAACTCTAGTTTGGCTCTATAAGGATCCTTCTGTGAGCCAATCAGCATTTCGAATGCATGCACGAGGACCAATCAGGATCAGTTTTTTTTGTCATTCCACCGGACTGCTCTGTTGTTAAAAATGTAAAATATTAAATGTGAAATAGTTTTATTTGTGTGTATATAGTCAGTGAAACATTTTTCAATGTTTATTAAACCTTGTTAAACAACTCATTTGCTCATTGTCTGTTTTCTTTTAAAGTCTCTAAATTAGATAGTAAGCCTTGAAGGGCAAATACTAAATTAAATTCATGAGGTCTTACTTACAAAAATAAATATTACCATATTAATAACATAAAATTAACATCTTCACTGGACTAAATATTTAGTAAAGCCTTGTATACTTATTTAAAAAAAAAAAAAAGCAAAAATTGAACTCGGACATCAGCATATTGTTACAAGACCATTTAGTTTATTAAATGAATAAGCAGACTGATTGTATTTCTTGAAAAGTAAAACTTCAATGAATGATCTGCCAAACAAAACCTTATAATTCCAAGCGGAAAATGACTTTTTAGAAGAAGATGGTTCTGCCTGCATTTGCTGTTTGTTTTACCCCAATTTGCAAATTTATGAGAATTTTATTCATTTTCATTTAGAGTACTTTAAGCGTCTCTGTCATGTTAATGTATGAAAGAGAACTCTTACACACATATTGTTTGCTATATGGAAAGCAAAAACTTTGAACTCAATAGCTCAAAATCATTTAGAACGCAGATAGAACCTTATAGCTCCAAGGCGACCACTTATATTACACATCCATAGATTTGTGGTTAGAGAGTAAAGAACCGAAAGCTTAAGGCAGTTTTGCAATAATTTATTTCTCTTGAACTTGATTCAAGGTTTCTACAGGTTTCATCAAGTCAAATGTAAGACTTTTCAATACCTTTTTAAGACTATTATAAATGAAATGTAAGGCTTGCACAAGGCTAAATGGTAAGGATTTTTTTCTAATGGTCCAGTTAAAACATTTAAATAACTGTTAAAAACTTGTAAGGAAGTAACATTAATAAAAAAAATTTTGTTAAAACTTTCATTGAGATGGAATGTTAGTGATTGGAGGGGTATAACGCGGACATAGGAAAATTAAGACCTGTAATTTTAGACCTACAAAACAACATTTTTGTGAAATTTCTGTGACTTTTTAAGGCCTAAAATTTAGTTTTATAAATTTAAGACATTTTAAGACCCTGCTGATTGCATAGCAAATTCTTTCCCCCTCCCACTAAATCCCTGAACACATGAATTCTTATCTATATAACAGGATTTTGTCTGTAAATATTTGTAGAATTGCACCTTTTGCCTAAAAAAAGGCACCACTTTTTATTGAACATATGCATATTGAAGAGTCTGCATCAATTTCAGATTTGCACATGCAAGACCCTGTTTACACCAGCTATTAAGATGCATTTTGGTCCATCAGATCACAAGCAGATGAGGGAACACATTCCTACCTAGACCTGGTGTCTTAATCTTTTTGTAAGAAGCAACTAAAAACCAACGTGAACTGGGGTTTGCTGGTTGTTCACTAACTGACTGTCTAGGTTGGATCCAGTCAGCTTCATTCACAGCACAGCACAGCACAGCACAGCACATACACACACATCAGAACTTGCTGGTGTGGAAATCCAGGGTGCTTGAGAAAGCTGGGGAGAGAAATGTACTGAAAGAACACAAGAAAGGTAAAGAACAGAGAGCAGCTTACCTTCTCTCTCTCTGTCAGAGATACCAGGGCTGCGAGTCCTGACCCGAGGGCTGCCGGAGTCCCCTGCCGCAGGGTAATGCTGTGATTTGGTTGGCTGTTGTTGCTGCTGCTGTTTGGCCTCCTGGGAGGATTCATGTGCCATGGTAATCTGCTGCTGGTACAACGCAAGAGCGTCCGGCATAGCCTGCTTTCCTGGCAAACCAGGCCGGTTATCACGTCCTGACACCTCTGGCAACTACACAAACCGACAGATATTGCTTATTATACATTACTGCATCTCTAGACTCTGCAATCTTTTCTACTCATTGACTGAGGTATAGTACTATTATCGTAAAAACAGCATTATGACTAATTATGTTTCTCACAACATTGAGAGCAATAACATGTTCTGTGCGATCATCTCTTTATGCCCGTCACTAAGAGGTTTTCAATTCTGTTATTAGATTTAGCAGATTGCTAAACTAAAGTACCTCCCACCAAGGTGCATAAAAAAAAAGAATGAAGCTTTTTAAATGTTAACCAGCATTTAGGTTAACATCCCAGAACATGGGTCAAGGTTAACAATGCATGCAATCAGTTAGGCTGCATTTCCACTGCACATCTTGATTGTCAACTTGGATTTTGTGACTGTCTCGGATTTTTTTGATGACCCGCTTATCATCTTTTAAAAGTGACTCATATCCAATGTCTACTGTATATTTACACTGCACACGACAAAAGTGCAATGACAAGGAAAAAAAGAGCAGGCGCTGTCTGGCATCTCATAATAAAAGTGTGCTCTTTCTTTCATTCCTGTATGTAATCTGTTAACAAGTTATTTTGCTATAGTTTATGACTATAACGGTTCTCTTTTAGCCATACTCTTAATCTAGGCTTTTTTAAAACCAGTTGGTATTTTAATGTCATGACCATTGCGTGATGTGATGTATGCAATATTTTTATATTAGTTTATACTGTTTACGTGGCAGATGTTGCGCTCTCTCTTCAGTTAACATGCTTAATTACTTACATGACAATATAAAAGCTTTTTTTTTTTTTTCTACTATATGAGATTTAAGGTTTTGGACTCTGCTGAAGTCTGTCCTGAAATGAAAGCGTTAAGGATGATGTCATTTTCTACAGTTTTAAATCAAGTGCAACTCTTATTGACTAGTGAAAATTCAAACTGCTTACACTGAAAAAAAAAAAAAATCTGAGTTGGGTCACTTGAACCATGCAGTCATAGTCTGGTTTTTATTTCAATTTGCTGATATAATCAAGTTGAATTTACAATAATATAAACTTTACGTAAAAAATGCAAATAATAAAAATATTTATTTTTATTTTGTCAATTATATATTTTAGTGGTCATCATGACACATTTGATGGCAGAAGGCTGAAACTGATCATACATAATAATGTTATTCAAAGCAGTTTAAATAATATGAACCCATGCCTTTCTACTAATGTGGTCACACATATTACGCATCCATAGTTTTGTGTTTAGTGAGTGAAAAACAGAAAGCTTATTAGTTACATTTTTTTAATATGTATTTATATTCAGGCATGTGATCAGCCGGAGACAAAAAAAAGAGAGAGAAGCCAAGACACATAATATATATATATATATATATATATATATATATATATATATATATATATATATATTTGTGTGTTTTTTAAAAAATAAAAAAAATTATATAAATAATTCATTCATTCATTTTCTTTTTGGCTTAGTCCCTTCAATAGAAATAATAATTCAAAAATGATAATAAATCATAATCTTTATGTAAATATTTGATATAGGCAACAAAATTTGAGTTTAAATTTCAGTTTAAATGTTTAGCAGTTTAATAGTGATAGTAATAATTAATAAGTAATAATATAAGTAATAATTAATAGTAATAATTAATAGGCTTATACTTTGTACTTCAATGTCAGGACTGACCCACACACCGCCGCTTGATAGCGCAACTAAGTCAGTTAGTTCTGTTGTGTCCACAGAAGATAATTTTTCCAGTAATAGACGATTGAGTAGCCTAATATACATTAACATTATACCCTGAAAAAAATTATCATACATACTGTACAGGGTTCAACGCTAAGGACATTTTCTACTGGCCCGACTGGACCAGCAATTCAGATTTTTACTGGCCCTGCCAAAATTTTCACTGGTCCCACCAAAATAAGTAAATAAAAAATAGCGTTTTTTTGGCCACATATTTTAAATAATGTGTCAAAAATAATGTCGTTGAATCTAGAATTTAAATATTTTTAAAATGTTAAAATATTTAGCAGTAAAATACAGCAGTATGGAAAATGTGCAGGTATTTTATTGCTAAACAAAAAGTGGCTGACTTTAAAGTGATGGAAAATTATGCAAAACATCACTTCATTTTTTTCGTTGTGTTGTACCCATGTAAATATCTTTTTCCACAACGTTGGAAACAGACGTTTTCTTTTAGCCTCATAATTTGATGTTGTCGTCTCTTCACTGTTCTGGTTTTTACCAGGTTGTGAAAAAAAATAACGTGCTAACAACAACCAATCAGATAAAAGGAACCAAAAAGCAATATGGGGTTCACGACTTTACAGAAAACGTAGCATTCTGAGACTTAAAAGCACAAATTGTTTCTCAGTTCTAAGACTGTATTTGCATACAATTGACATAGTAGCAGGCAAATAAAAATTTGATGACAAGGCAGCACTGGCCTGATTGGGCCAGTAACGATTCTCTTCACTGTCCCGAACATCTCTCATGCTGGCCCCGGGCCATCGGGCAGTCCTTATTGTTGAGCCCTGCTGTAGCTAAAAATGCATGACTTTTACATTCCTTCGGCTCAGTCCCTGCGTTTTAATAGTTTTAACTAACTATAAAAATATTTTTATGAGTTTGTAATATTATCTTAATTTATGATATTTTCAGGTATTACATTCCAGATGCTAAAGGCTGTAGCACTGATTAAATTAGAACATAAGAACAGATGACTAGCAGAGGATAATAACAAATGTGCGTCCTGGCTTTGTTTATAATGTACATAGAGCACACGTGGTCGTGACATGCAAATGTGAGCGCTACATATTACACAACTGCACATTGTCATTATATTATATACACAGTAACCTAGGTACAGGTCTACAATTACATCCCTGAAAGACGTCCGGAATGAGGGGAAAATTATCAGGTCGTCTGCTTTGATGATGATGAACATGTTACCACATCACGATAGCACCCCACCACCAAACAAACAACAAAAAAAAAATGGATTTACGCAAATTACAGGGGTCGCCCCATTGAACTCTGAAAATATAAAAGGATTTTGTCTCTTGAACTTGATTGCCAAGCAAAACCTTTCCCCCTAAATCGCTGAATGCATGGATTCCCATCAAAACAACAGGACTTTATCGGTAATAATTTGTAGAATTGCATCTTTTGTCTGAAACACATCACCAGTTTTTTTGCACATCGGCAAACTACAGAGGCAGCATTTTAGATTTGCAAATGCAAGGCCCTGTTTACACCTGGTATTAAGATGCATTTTGGTCAGTCAGAACAAAGAGGGCAAAAAGTGTGGACTATCACTATTATGAGAGGTGTCATATCACCAGCTTAAATATCTTTAAAACAGAGATGCCCAAATTAGGGCCCATGGGTCAAAGTTGGCCCTTTGATTTGGCCCGCCATCTAGTGATGTGCGGATCCCTACCAAAATATTGATATCTCCAATACCAGCTTTGTATGTTTTAGAATCACAATTATCTTATCAAATATCAATATTTCAGTAATTTGGAGCAAATGTGCAGTTTATTGGAAATAGAAATACAGTGGAAAGTAAGCACAATGACCATAGTTTATCTAAATAATGCCAGCTTAGTCGGAACTACTTGTTCTTCCGCCTGCCAAGTCATGTGTGTAATATGACACTGTAAAACTGCAGGGCACGCTAGCTAGCCACTCAGTCCACTGGCATGGCACATGTTGTTCAGTCACGCCATCGTTGAATAGGGCTACTTCACTTCCATAAACTCAAACGATGACACATGTAACAAAACGGTGAGGTACAGTTATAATACCACAAACCTAATCAAACATCTACATATAAATCACAATACAGAATATGAAAGCATCATGACTAGGTGGTAAGAAGAGGAGAAAAAGAGAGGCACAGGTGCTGCTAGGGCGAGACAGACATCGCTTTCAGAGACCTTAGGTGCAGCAGACAGACACTATCCAGGTACAGAGGGGGAAAATGTGGCGATGTGGCTGTATTTTGGGGGCTTGGGTTTTTGTGACAATGATAAAGCAACGGAAAAAGGTTAAAAATCTTCAAGGGGACTGAATTAACATGTCACTACACCAAAATGTGTGAATGTTTATTGTTTTATGTTAAGATGTTCAGGCAGGCGTTTTAAGATATCTATGCTCAAATGCTGTCAAGAAAATTGTAAGTTGGCTCTGTTTTTGTATGATAATTCTTCATCAATAAACAATAAACAAGAGTAACCCGTAATATGTCTTATATTCAGTATAAAGTGACACTAAAGTATCGGTATCGCCGATACTCCCCTTTATTTTATTTGGTATCGTATCGGATAGGAAACCAGTGGTATCTGAGAATGAATAGTCAATTTAAATTTAATGTACCCTTTTATTTGTTTGTTTTATTGTTAAGCTATCTGAAATTAAATGTTTCAATTGAAATGGTGTAAATTAATCAAGACAAAGGCAGATTCTGTTTGACTAGTGTATTCAGCTTTGAACTCCACTGTGTTATAAATATGATTACGGTTTTTTTTTTTGGAATAAGTTATAATTTAAAAAGGTACAGTATACTGCATTAGTTAATACGATTCTAAGTAAAGTTTTCTGTTTATTTTTTAATATAATGAAAAATTAGCAAATTACTCATGGCAACTTTAATGTAATATAGTTGGGTAAATATATCTTCGGCCCTCAATGACATTTGGTTTTTAGCCTTTCATATGAAGAAGTTTGGGCACCCCTGCTTTAAAATAACACTGATGATCATATTATCATAGACAATACATACTTAAAAAAAATAAGATTGGTTGGCGTTCACATAAAAAAGCTAGCCCAATGTAAGCGCAGTCTTAAATAAAGAGAAACAGTGTCAAGTAAACCTACATTATTTTCAGTGCAAGAAATCTCAGAGGAAAAAAATGATATGTCTTCATTAAGAAGACTGCAAGGAAAAAATGTCAGCTCCTCTCCAAACAGTGCATATCAGTTTCCACACCTCTCTTCTGCCAGAGCTCAGTCCGGCTGTTAGCTCATGATGAGCGTCTGAATAGCTAAGAGCAGAGTGGAAAACTAGCATCTCATGGGATTAAAAACAGTCTTAGTAGCCATGGCAACATGGAGAGAAGATGCTAATCTGTATAATATGGCCAGATATGCAGGTTGTTAACAAGAAAGTCTCATGAAATTCAAATCACAAGTGGCTGAAAACAAAACGTAAAGCAGTTCTGATTTAGTTTTGGTTTATAGTAGGTGGGTACTCACAATGGGAGGTATGGCGGCCGCTCTCTGCTTGAGCTGTTTGAGGTCCAGCGGTTTCTGAGCTTGAGAAGAGATCACTCCATCGTGGCTAAAACTCAACAAGCTGGGCCTAGGAGACGTCATTGTGAGAAGAGAGAGAAGAGTTATTGCTTAATATGGTCAGAGGCTCATTCTCTCTTATTTACGCTCTTTGTAAACAGCCCGTTAATGCCACAAAACCACAAACACACACGCTTAATCATCATCCCGCCACACATAAACAAACACAGCCTTTCCACTTGCAGTCGTATGGAAATGTAAAACGCAAAATACACAAAAGACGGAACCAGACAGACACACACACACTTCTCACTCTGATATGTTTGGCAAGCTCACAAGCTAATGTTTCCCCCGACTCAGCCAACATATACAGTGTTTGCTGTCATGGAAAAAAAATCCTACAGGACAGATCAACAATCCCAGCCTTCTTAACCACATCAGACCCCACCCAAGTAACCAATCAACACACAGCCACACACACGTGCACACTCTCACCTGCTCTTCTCTGAGCTCTCCGTCTCCTCCACCTCATCGGCGCTGCATGTGGCGCTGGAGTCGCTGTCGTGAGCTCCACTCTTTCCCCCGTGCTCTTTCTTCTTGACCTCTTTCTTGCCCTCCTCCACCTCCAGGGCAGGAGGCTTCTTATCCTCTCCGGCTGACTCTGAAGCGCCTTCCCCTGGCTCGGTCTTCACCTCCTGCTTCACTCCTGCCTGCTCCCCGTCTCCCTTCTCCACTTTTGGCTTCTCGTCCATCCCCGTCTCTGCAGCTGCCATGTCCTTGTCCGTGGAGGAAGAGGAGGAAGTGGCGTTGGGTGCAGTTTTGGGCCGAGCCGAGCCCTCTTCTTTGACCTTGCTGTCATCTGAGGAGCGTGGGGAAGGGAGGCTCTCTGTGTCTGAGCTGTTATTGGCTCCACCTGAAATAAAGAGGTGATGGGAAACGTCACGATAGGGCAGAACACTGATGCCAGCTGATCTGGTGTGTGCCGTTTGCTTGATTATTTGTTTTGATGGGGGATTTCATTATTCAGTCAAGAGCACATGCGCTTGAAAATTTGCTTTAGTACAGCAACGCTCAAAGCTTTGGGGTCAACGTTGTGTACAACGTTTTTGAGACACTAATTGAATAATACATGATTTCTACTTGTTAATATATAAAACATGCTATTTGTTCTGTGATGCTGAATTTGTAACAGGCATTGTTTCTAACGCCTCATTAGACTAGTCTAATTTGGTTCTCCATTTATTATTATTACGTTTACATGGACATCAGTAATCAAATTATTTGGCTTAATCTGAATGAAACAATAATGAGCTGCTTTTCGAATGTTCCTTTTATGATCCCGTTTCATGTGTTATAGCACATAATTTAATTACCCACATTTCCTCCAGAATTTCATGTAATTTCAGGTGTTTTCTTTGTCGATTATAACTGCAGTTTGGCACTTTTTTCACTTTCATTCAGGAACATTTCATGCATGCTCCCTGTGACAAATGAAATGTTGGATGCAGCGGCGTAGTGCAAAATGTGTGGGCCCACCTGCAAGCCTAGGGGCGAGGGGTGGGGGGGTGGACATTATTGGTGTTCATGTAAACATACAGTGTTGAAAATGTGTGCTGTTTAATACTTTAAGCAAGTCCAACGTAACTTTTTTTTAACACTGACTATTTTGGAAATGACCAGTGTTGGGAAGAGACACTTTTAAAAGTAATGCATTGCAATATTGAGTTACTCCCCCCAAAAGTACCTAGTTGTGTTATTTAGTTATTTCTTATGGTAAGTAATGCGTTGCATTAATTTTGAGTATCGAAAAAAATATACGTATATAAGTGGCTAATAATTTTGACCTTAAAATGCTTAAAAAAAATAAAATTCTGGTCGTAATAAAAACAGTAAAACTTTCTTTAGAAAAAAAAAATTATCCGACATACTGTGAAAACTTCCTTCCTCTGTTAAAAATAATTTGGGAAATATTTAAAAAATAAAAAAATAAAAAAATAAAATGGGATAATAATTTTGACTTCAACTGTATATGCATGACATATAGCCTATATTTATCAGGTCCAAGCAACATTGAAAGGTTTTGATGAACAGGCTACTATACATTAATACTTGACAAGTACAGGAGTTATTATTTTTACTTTTCAAGGACAGTGCCATTTTTTCATTAACTTTTAAAAGCACATTTTAATTGAAACGGTGAAGTTTTAAAAAATGTTTTGTCTGTAATTACAGTTAATGTTCAAACTATTTAAAATGTTTAAACTGTCTGACAATGATACATATTTTTATTAATAGTCATTAATCTGCCTCGTTTTGGATCTGTGCATTGCTGTAGCTGCTTAATTAGGCCTATTCGCTACTGAATTAGTAACTTCGCTACTGTATTTCAATACAGGTCATTATGGTGTTACTTGGAGCAAATTTTTTTTTCTGATGTGGTTCTTGGTGAAAAAAATTTGAGAACTACTGCCCTACAACTGTTGCTTGGAGCAATTACCTCTTGGTAATATTTGGAGCGAATTAGAAATTATTTGAAAAGGAAACCTAAACAGTTTGTCAAAATTTGGAATGCTTTTATCTGTTACCAGGCTTGACATTAACTTTTTTTTAATCACCAGCCACTGTGGCTAGTAGTTTTCTAATGTAACTAGCTACTAAGATTTTTTACTGGCCACAGTTTTGTTGTTGTGAAAATGTATTTTATATGCATAATTTACTTGTCATGCTAAAATTACTTAATTTAGATTTTGTGGTATGTCCACATCTCATTCATTTATCTTTTTTTTGTGTGTCGTGTATGCCCTTGCTCAAAAAAAAAATAAAAATAAAAAATAAAAAATACTGTAAGCAAGAGAAAGCATACCGTGTCCGATAATGAAAGTATGATCACTTGCACACAGTTAACGTTAGCCCTATTAATAATCTGTTCAAAGAATGGTAAATGTGAAAGAGGCAACTGCTGCCGCTTACAAAAAGACATTTTTCAAAAAGAATCTAAAGCTTTTGAAAGCAGCAGAACAGTGAGTGCACAAGTGCAGCTCTGTCCAGTGTAATTCAAAGAGAACTGATCGCACAAGTTGCGTTTACAGACATGTTTGCTTGGCGCAAGGAAACGGGAGTGTGCAAGCTTTAGAAACTATCGTGCCCATCACAGCCATGTGTGTGATACTAAAGCCTTCGTCAGCCTCGAGAAAGTCTGCGTCTCACCGTGTGTGTGATCATTCTCTCATTGGGCATTCACCTGTTTTCTTTTGCTTGCGCGAACAGTTATTTTCGTACTCGTGCTGCTTCTCGGTGAACTACAATTTAAAAACTATTTTCAACCAGCCAAAGTGGCTAGTGGGAGTGGCTCTCTAACCCGCCACCGCTGAAATCGACCCGCATTTGGCGGGTGTTAATGTCAGGCTTTGTCCGTTCCCTTGAAAAAAGCACCTTGTGGAATAATGCAGAACTTCTGTAATGTTTAACAAGCTTTGTCATCACACCCTGTTGTTCAAACACTCCTTTGTAAACAAGTTGGCTTGCTATGTGGGGTGGGTTTTTTATTTATTATTATAATTTTCATAATGTTTTTCCTTTTCATTCTTTCTTTTTCTTTGCTTTGCCTATGTTACATGTGAACAAAATATGTAAAACAGAAAATAATTGTCTTTCTGAATCTGTGTCTTAAATAAAACTTATTTGACAAACAAAAGAGGAAGTCCGAAAGTTCAAAATAGTGAAATTCACACAAAAGAACCATTTCAACAACCAAAAAAAGGCATTAAACATACAACAGAAAAAGCATACGCTAGTTTAACATATATTTTAAAAAGTTATACTAAATAAATAAATAAAATAATATTAGTAAAATCATCCTAGAGCACAGAAAAGCTCCTAAATGAAGAATGACTCTTATCTAAACCTAACATGTCCTTTTGTCAAATCAAAAAGTAAACATAACTAGTAAATACACAGCAGGGGATTATGATAAGCCTCATTTTCCCACTGGCATAACAAACCCCAGCCGTTGAGTGTGTGCTCTCCCAGCTGGATGTAATTACACAATAACCATAACATAATAAGCACTTCCCTAGCTGGCTTTATTTCACAAGCTTTGACCTGATAAATGTGGCTTTATTACGAAAGTCATTTATCGGCAAGCCACACCTGACAGTCAAACACACAGCACTTTTATTTTATAGCTGCCTGGCAGACGAACAGCTCCAAAGCTACGTCCGCAGCACGACAAGACACTTTGACAGCCAGACAGTGTTAACTGAAACTCAATGACAAAACCACTTCTCAAAACTCTGAAAAAGCGATTCATGCTAAAAACGAGAGTGTCGCCTCTTTCCCAGAACTTGACAAAAGTAGGTCAGGGTTGTATCCCGAGTGAGGTCATAGGTGAGTCTGGGCCACGTGTTCGCGATATTCTGAGAAGAGCTCTCTGCTATTTGATTCGAGCTGCTGTGGGATTTCCTGGCAGCCGCAAACGCTCGGCGGTGTTTAGTTTCAGTGGAACTTGTTTCATAGCTACGTTTGATAACAATTACCAAACTTCTAATTTGTTTCTGCGATCATAACATCGAGTATCATTGCTTCCATTACACCCCAGAGTCGTTGAATAATGTGCAACAAACTCTGCTTGACGAATGCTAATGATTGTGTTACAAGTTTGTGCACGGTAATGTGGCTGTGTGAGTGTTACGTGTTTGTGTGTTTTGCTCATACCTTCTCCATCCTCCTGAGCCTCCTCTTCGTTACCACTGACTCCCGATCCTTCCATCTCCTCTTCCTCTGCAGCAGATGGAGCGCTGGCCTCTTCGTTTTGAGGAGCTTTCCCTTTACGTCTGGCTTTACGCTCTTTCTCCTGCAGCAAACGCACATACACACACAAAAAGACACAACAGCATGAAACTAATACTACTCACAATTGTAAATAATTAATTCTATGCGCTCTATGAAACGTGTGTCTGCCGACTGACCGATTTTATTTTATGCTGTTGCAGAATCTCATCCAGTTTCTGTCTCTTCTTGTAGTTAAAGTAGAAGTTCTTGCACTGGGAAACTGTTTTGGAGCCCACCATCTTGGCAATAGCTGACCAGTTTCGGCCATACTGCAGCAGACCTATTAGGAAAAATAAGAAAAATTGACTTTACTGATACTTTAATACAAAAAGCAAAGTGTCTGCGCCATCATCATAGTTATTTATTATGAGAAACTGTGTCAAACCTACACGACACTCCACTGACACTATTTAAACATGTACTTGCTACAACAACAGTAAATTATGCATAATTATTTGAAATAACCCAAAAACTAGGGATGCTCTGATCAATCGGCCGGATATCAGTACCGGCCGATAATCACATTTTATGAGTGGATCATACTTGCCAATTTGGCCGATATCATGAACTGATCACAAGTGTTTGTTTACAAGTTTACACGCAAAGGAGATGCAATTGCACACCTGACATCGCTCCAACACGTAAGGAGATAAATGATGCGCGGGGCATAAAATATAGCAACTAAAATATTTATAGATGTGATGCGACCTTTGTTTGTTCAGTTTATTGGCGTGATTCATGTGAGTGATGGTCTCTTTGTTGCAAGCATTGTATATCTAGTGTGAAGTTGTGACCGCTGCTATCTGGTGTCTCATCCAATCTTATGACTTCTGCTGGAAGCTTTGCGAGTCTCCCGTACATTTATAGCGGCTCTGAGACGCCCGCAAATCATGACAATAAGAGTAAATGATTAGATCGCGAGAGGCACATCGATGTTCTAAGCATTACAGTTATTAGGTTAAATGAACAGTAAAGATATCTTAAGTGCGAATCTCCCTCTCATATCAAGCTGCTGTGAGACTCTCCGGAGCTGCGATCATTGTACTGCTATCAATAGTTGGAGATAAGCAAAATATCTGAATGGCATTGCATGTATTTTGGCCCTTTTACATATAAGAACTAAAAGTTCTGTTTATGATAATGTTGTGATAAAGTTTATGATGAAGTTTACTAAAACCTGGCTGAAAATAAAAAAAAAATATATATAATTTTTTAGTTGTTATATTTAACTATATATATATATATATATATATATATATATATATATATATATATATATATATATATATATATATATATATATATACTTGTAATATTCCTCTTGCAATAAACAGAAGTTTATAGGTCTATATCCTTTTAGTAAAGAAGTATTAGATTTATAGGTGTGCATTAAATATGCACTCCAAACTTTTTCTTCGGTTAGACATATTAAATGATTATTTTGACATTTGCAATGTTTTTTGAAATGGCATTGTCAATAACTTTTCTTCCCAGTTTTTTTTTTCCGTGTTATCTTTTTTGTTCTGTAAAGCTGCTTCTCACTATGACATGTTGACAGTAAGAGATGTGATTAAGGGATTGTATGAAACATTCTTTATTTATTCTCTTAGGTAAGGAGAGATCTCCACTTACTATAAGTATCATACTCGGAAAAAAAAATTGCTTAATACATTATAAAGCTTAAAGCATCAGAATCGGTACTCTGTATCACCATGACAAGGAATCAGTACTTGGTATCTGCTGCCAAAATCCTGATCTGAGCATCCCTACCAAAAACCTAACCCTAATACTAATCTTATGGTATCTTTAAGGCCACTTATTATGCCCCTTTTTACCAAATTTAATACAAGTCTTTGGACATGCCTATAAAGTTTGAGCTATACTGTATAAAAAAACCCTATATATTATTTATTTAACTTTTTTCAAAATGTCAATTTTCGGGTCAGAGTAAAAATGTGCTGTTTCTGTGAGTGCGCCTTTAAATGCAAATGAGCTGGTTCTGCCCTAGAATTCAAAAAGGGTGGTGTTTGGACATGTCTACTTCAGATACCTAATATATGTCAGGACAAGCAAAATGACAGAGAGTGACTCAATAAAAAATACCAATATGCCCACAGAACAGGTTTTGGCATTGCTATTTGAAAACTACATTTAGTTTTTGTGGGGGTTATTCAATCTTTGCAAGAGCCGCATACCAACAGCATTACAAAGTTGGAAATGCATACATGTCAACAATGGCATGTAAAAATAAGGGATATTGTTATTAATTATTATAAACAAATGACAGAATACCACACATAAACATTTGAAAAAGCTGCAAATAATTAAGTCTATTAAAATTAATAGCTATTACTGTGTAAAGAAATTGAATCAAATGACCAAATCTCATTAACCTCTTCCTCACTGTATAATGTAAAAGCTCATGATGATGATGATGAAAGCTCAGAGAAATGAATCTCTTATTTTGATTTTTCATTCGATTACATTAAATAAGAGGTGTCACTTTAAAAATGCACATTTAATTGCTTTCCTAAGTGTTTATGCTAATTTAAAACTACATTTGTTGTGTCTAGACGAAAATTATGATAATTACTTCAAAGTGTTTTCATTTCAAATACAATAAAAGCACAGAACAGATTCACATTTAAGAGCAAGAGGCGTCCCCGGGTGGTTTGGTAGTATGGGTTGCATATAGAGAGGACCAGCTGTTTGATGTTTATTGCTACCCTTCATAGAAAGATTGAAAAACCGAGAAAATACCTTTACAGGATGATAACGGGATACAATTGTAAAATAAAGGAGAATCCCGGGGTTTACAGATATGAATATGCACTAAAAATAAACATCGCACATGTTTTAATACAGGTGCTCATGTGGCAAATATGACAAGATACCCGCCAAGCAAGAAAATATAGGCTGTATAGAGATTCGTTATAGCTACTTTAAAATTAATCCACCTGGTCTTTGGAGTTAATAAAAGCAGTCTATGCCAAAACTTTAGTGTCCATCAACAATGATGGGTGGGACATGTACAAGTGTGATGCTACACATCGCACGCTCTCAAATCCGTTTGTACAGAGACACTGCTTATGATTTATGGAGTTTAAAACAAAAAGAGTGTGTGGACTGTTATCATTGTAAAATGGTTATTTACATATTGCCGACACAAAATTGTGTCCAAACATATTAAAAATATTGATTAAACATTTTAACAAATTGATTCAAAGAATAATAGTCAGGGCGGCATGGTGGCTCAGCCATTAGCACTTTCGCTTCACAGCAAGAAGGTTGGCATTTCTGTGCAGAGTTTGCATGTTGTCCCTGTGTTCGCGTGGGTTTAAAGTCCAAAGACATGCACTGTAAGTGAATTGGATGAACTAAATTGTCTATAACACTGGATGTTTCCCATTACTGGTTTACAATTGGAAGGGCATTCGCTGCATAAAATATAGTTTTAGTTCAGCATAGTAGCTAAAATAGTTGTCAGTTCATTCCGCTGTGGCAACCCCTGATGAATAAGGCTCTAAGCTGAAGTAAAATGAATGAATGAATAATGATAAACGATAAGGAGGCAAAAAGAGGAACTAGATCAAACGTGATCTTTGGTCTAACAATGGTGTATTTGTAATTAAAAATATTACTGATAGCAAACATTTAACCTTGAGTATGTGTAGGTCTCAAATTTTCCCCCCTACCTGAGGTCCCACTAAGTCACATGCACTCAAAATAGGGCAGCTCCGAGCCTGTAACAGTTTATACAAGATTTATATTACACACGGCCTAACAGACAATATCCTTCCAAACTAACACACAAGATCCCTGTGTGCCTGGTTACAGAAGCCCCAAGCGTTCCCATCCACCCAGCCTTGCATCATTAAAGAAAACCTTAATAAAAGGTCAAAGATCATCTGCCGCTGCTTGCTGTCTGAAGGAGGAAAGTGGGGCAGCAGCCTGACATGAACTGCTCTCAATGATTTAACACCAAGCTAACGCTCAGCAGACATCGGCCAAGTCATTGTGTGCTGGTTAGCTTCACATTAGAAACCTATCTTGTCTAGTCTAAATAGCTGCTTTGATTTATATCGCTGGTGACCACAATAAAGTCCTGCTGCCCTCCACATCAAAGCCATAAGACAATCAATGTAGTTTGAACAGGGAGAGAGAGAGAGAGATGAAGAGCGTAAGTGCATGGAGCGCAATGAAAAATGTCCTTGGTGACATACAAACAAGCAAAGCGAAGCAAGAAATCATTTGAAGTCTGATGTGTATACTTATCCTCACCATCTCTGATCCCAGCCTCTGTTTATTCTTCAAACTCGCAGTTGTTTGTCAGAAACACACGCACATTATAATCTATGTAACATGGCAAGCAGACACTGCAGTGAAGAAACTGCATCAATAAGAGTCTGAATATCAATGCATACCCACAAGATCTCCCAAGGGAACTTCTACTGTATAAAGCAGGTCAAAAGTCAAGGAAACTCCATAATTGCCCAATCCAACAAATGACAAAGCACCACGCAAATCCAAAATGAGAGATGAACAACTTCCAAAAATGCGTGTTTCAACCAACTTTCATTTTAAAACGCTGCATTTTGCCCACTGCATAATCCAGACTTCCAAACGCGAGAGTACTCCGATGCAGTCCAATCAGCTTTGGTCATTCACGAGCATGTGTCAGTGCTGCATCCAATCAAAAAGCTCAGCACTGGCCCAGTGCGCATAGTCCAATCAGGAAGTAGCATTAAGGAACTATGTGGTTTCTCTCTTCCTCTCTTCGTATCACTCCATCGGGTGTTTCATCTCACATGATCTCCGTGGAAATGAACTGTAGAGGATCTTAGAGCTCCAGCACGGCATGAGGACGAGCGAGAAAGTAGGAGAGAGAAAAAGGGAGCGGTGTTTGGGAGGGAAATGAGCTCTTCGTACCTTCGCTGATAGTTGCGCTGTCGTTTCCCTAACTCTCTCTCTCTCTCTCTCTCTCTAAACAGAGCAGCTCTTTTCTTTTTCCTCTCTCTCTCTCTCTCTCTCTCTCTCTCTCTCTCTATTTATCAAACTCACGCGCTTTCTCTCGCCAGCCCTCTCTCTCACTCTGTCTCAAGGCCACAGTTTTTTTCCACTCCTCTTCACTGGCTGCCGCTTGGCTGGACTTTAACAGCAAAGTGAAGCTGAGAAGCAGTGACTCCACCTCCCTGAAGCCCGTCCTCCCTCCACAACCTCATCTGATCTCTTCTTTTACTATCTCTAATGCATAGTATCTGTGCCAAAATGCATCCACAC